AAGTAAAATAAAGACATTTTCAAATGAAAGTAAACTAAGAGGTTTATTACCAGCATCATGTTCTCAGAGAATTGCTATAGGAAGTCCTTCACGTAGAAGGGAAATGATAACTAAAGAAAACCTGAAACATCAGGAATGAAGAAGGTACAGTGGAAAGGGTGAATATCTGAGGAGACTTGTCTTGAGTTTTAAAAATTTGTTTGACATTCAAAACAAAAATTGAAACATTTCTGAAGTATTCATTGTGGGTAGAGATGATACTTACACCATAAAGAGGGGATAGTGAAGTGATGTAGTTGGTAAGATTTCTGCATTTCATTTGAAATCGTGAAAGGTTGATACTATTAGACTGTGATAAATTAAGCATGTGAATTGTAATCCCTAGAACAAGCACTAAAAAACTAACAAAATATAGACTCAAGAAACTATAGATGAATTAAAATGTTGTAATAGTAAAACCTTTTCAAGTAGCCCACAGGAAGGCAGGAAAGGAGAAACTCAAATGAATGACAGGATAGAAAATAAAATGGCAGACTGGAATCCTAATATATATAATTACATTAAATATAAATGTCTAAACACACCTGTTAAAAAATTTTCAGAAATGATAAAAAACCATGACCCAACTATTTGCTTCTACAAGAAAATCATTTCAGATGTAATGCTATATTACATCATGCTAAAGGTTATTTGTCAGATAATCTACAGTAAATTTCATACTTAATTGTGAGGTTACAGAAGTTTTCTCATTAGAATTAGGAACTAGATTTGAACTTTTTAAAATCACTGCTTCTATTCAACAATAAAGTAAAAATAAGAAAGAGATACAGTTGTTTTGATTATTAGAAAAATCAAGAGAATCTACAAACTCAAAGCTCTTGAGTTGCTAGATATAAAATCAAAAAGACTACCCATCTCTTGGGGTGTGTGGGGGCTCAGTTAAGTGTCTGCTTTCAGCTCGGGTCATGATCCCGAAGTCCTGGGATCAAGCCCTGTGTCGGGCTCACAGCTTAGCGGGGAGTCTGCTTCTCCCTCTGCTTCTCCCCTTGGCTTGTGCTCTCTCTTTTTCTCTCTCTCACTCTCTCTATAGAATAAATAAATAAAATGTTAAAAAAAACCCAAACTACCCATCTCTAGTAAAAAGTCAGGCTTGAGAGGTGACAAATAAATTTCATTACCAGCAGTAGCAACAGGAAGAGTTGTAACTAAGAATTAAGGTTTGTAAGATCTTTTTTTTTTTTAGGGGCGCCTGGGTGGCTCAGTTGGTTAAGTGGCTGCCTTCGGCTCAGGTCATGATCCCAGAGTCCTGGGATCGAGCCCTGCATCGGGCTCCCTGCTCAGCAGAGAGCCTGCTTCTCCCTTTCCCTCTGCTGGCCGCTCTGCCTACTTGTGCTATCTCTCTGTCAAATAAATAAATTAAAAAAAAATCTTTAAAGAAACAAGTATTTTTTTTAAACATTTTATTTATTAGCAAGAGAGAGAGCTTGTGCACATGCATGACTGGGGGGAGGGGCAGAAGGAGAGAGAGAAGCAGACTCCCCGCTGAGCAAGGAGCCTGATGTGGGGCTTGATCCCAGGACCCTGAGGTTATGACCTGAACCGAAGGCAGACACTTAACCGTCTGAGCCACCCAGGTGCTCTGGTTTGTAAGATCTTAATGAAGACAATTTCAGAGTCGAATTGAAGGATGAAAAACCTGAATAAATGGTGCAATATACCATTATGATTTTGGATTGGGAGGCTCAGTGTTATAACAGTGTCCACATTAATTTATAAATTCACTGTATTTCCATTGTACTTTCTCCCTCTCCACCTTTTTGGGAACTGATGCTAAATTTTATTTACAAACAAAGTACCCAAAGTATTCCTGAAAATGGGAGGTGGGGCATGTGAGGGATGGGCTTCTTGCTGTGGTGATTAAGATGGGGTAGTAAGAGCACACATAGAAATAGACCAGTTGAGAAATAAACCAGAATAGAAAGCTTACATGTAGCATCACAAATCAGTGGATTAAGCATGGAGTCTGCAATAAATGTTGCTAAGATTATTGGTTATTCACGTGAAAAATGAAGTGTAGATCTTTTTTTAAAAGATTTTATTTATTTGACAGCTAGAGAGGGAACACAAGCAGGGGGAGTGGGAGAAGGAGAAGCAGACTCCCGGCTGAACAAGGAGCCCGATGTGGGGCTTGATCCCAGGACTCGTTCATGACCTGAGCCGAAGGCAGATGCTTAAATGACTGAGCCACCCAGGTGCCCCTGAAGTGTAGGTCTTGACCTCACTTCACACTTAATGATTAATTCCAGGTAGATCAGAGATGTAAATGTAATAAACTGTAAAGGCTACAGAAGGATATATAAAAATATCTTTGACTTCAGAGTGGGAAGGATTTCTTAAAACTATGATAAGGAAAAACTATAAAAGGAAAGATTGACAGATGTGATTACATCAAATTAAACAAAAATACTTTCTAATATAAAAAGTACCATACACAAAGGGGAAAAGCTGAGCTACAGACTAGGAGAAGGTATATTCAACTCATGTAGCTTACAAAAATGCTTTGAAGCCAAAATACATCAAGAACTTCCTGGTCCTTTCTTTCTGTAAGAGTAAAAGAAAGCCCAGTTGAAATTGGGCAAAATACATGACTAAGCAATACCAGAAGAAGAAATACATGAAATAAATATGTGAAAAGGTGTCCAGATTTACAGGTAATCAGAAAATGTAAATTAAAACAACAAGCTAACATTTCACTTCTCACATTTTTTTTAATGTGTGTATGTACTTAACCTTTATTTTATATACACCAATGCATATAAATTCAATAGTACCAAGTAAGGTTGTGCAAACCAATCTGTTCTGGTAGAAGTGTAAATTAGTATTACCACTTTAGACATGTCCATTTATAGCAAAACGGTTAAATTGTATCTACATACAATATAATGTATATAGCAGTGAAAATATAAGTTAGAACTGCATACTCACCACGGATATGTTTTGTAAAATAACATATTGAATGCAAAAAGCAAGTTGAAGAATGATGCATGTGGTAGGACTCCATTTATATAAATTTTAAAACTCCACAAGTACGTGTATTTATAGATAAATAAGTGTGTATTAAAGTGTGATGACAGTGATGACCACTGAGTTCTGTGGTGCTACTGGGGAAAAGAAGGAGAGGAATGGAATCTGGAAGATATATTCAGAGGGTGTCTAATAGGTCTATATTTTCTTTCTTTCTTTCTTTTTTTTTTAAAGGTACCTAAAGCAATTGTTTTATATTAGATACGCTAAAACTCGATGGTGGATTTTCATTATAGTCCTTATTCTGTTGTATATGTTTGAAATAATTCAAATAAAAATTCATCTAAAATTCTTAAAAAAAGGTATTTTTAAAGGGAATAGAGAAGTTTGGTTTTTTGGGGAAAATTTTAAACTTAGCCATCTTGTTGACTATATTTTATATCTGACATTTTATTTAAACTTTGTTTTTGCGAACATACTGTTGCCTGGTAAAACTACCAGCACATTTATCATTGTGATTATTGCCCAGTTTAGTTTCACATTATTTTTGTTGCCACACAGAAAGGATTTCTAAACAATTGTAGTAATTACAAAGCTCATAAGCTAAGGTAGTTGTATCTATTAAAGTTCATACACATGCATTTACACAACTATACATTTTAATTATTGCTAATGACGATTCTGTTGAAAATATAGCTCTGTTTAGGTCTCTTTTCACTTAGAGATTTCTGGCACAGAATTTTTTGGGGGATAGCCTTTAAGTTTCATCTTTGTTCATCCTAGAAATGATCCCTTTGTGAACTTCTGTGATGAATTTTTAGATTGCTATTTGTTAAGCAGCAGTAATTTAAAAGCAAATGCCATATGTGATTGCCTTGCTTTGACAAATTTTAATGTGAAGAATGAAGTAACAGATTTGGGAGATAGTTTGGTGGGGGTGTGTGTAGGCTCATTTTGGGGAGTAAAGAAATGGCATAGTGTGGAGAAAGATGTTGGAAGATTTTTTTTTTAATATTAAAACATTCTTAAAATTTTACTGAAATTCTAATGAATCATTAAAATTTTAAGATTTACTGGGCTTTTTAGGGGTGGGAGAAGTAGATAGGTATTAGGTATCCTTTGCTTTCAGGAGAAGAATATAGCCTTTAATTTTCTTTTGTTATTTACTTATTTACTTATTTATAATTTATTAAAATTGGCTGTATAAAACAGCATAACTCTTAAACCTCACATTTCTGAAATGTTTATGCTTGGTGATCTACTTGACATTTCAAGCACATGATTTAATACCTTATTGATAATGTGTTCTTAATTTTAGATGTTATTTGGGGGGGCAGTTATTATCTATTCTTCGTACACAACTGATATAGTCAGAATTGGTCTTTCAGACTGGAACTGTCTCTCTGCCTTGTGACCTGGTTATGTTTTACAACTTCAGAGAAACAAATAATAGTATGTTCGGCCTATAAATGAAAGCAAAAACAAACAACCCTTTAAATGTGGGAATACTGTTGTATATGTAATCATCATTTTTAAAACCTAAACCAAAAATTGGACTCGTGGATTTTCAAGGTAGAAGGAACCTTAAAAAAATAGTTTGTCCTATGACCTCATTTTATAAATTATGATAACTAATATTTTATTGAGAACCCCACTGTTAGGGCAATATTTGGCCATTTTTATACTGCTTAATTTTTATAACACGTCTGTGAATGAGATGATATTTCTGTTATGTCTATTTTACGGTTGATGAAACTGAGACATAGGGAGACTAAATGTTTTGCCAAAGTTAACGGTAACTTGGTCTCTCCAACACCGAAATCTTTGATCATCTCAGTTGGGCCACAATGTGGTCAAGGATGAGAAAACAGGCCAGAAAAATTCCTGTGATGAACTTGGCTGAACATCAAAGGTCATGTTTAGATTCTACTTTTGTTTCTATTATTTATGAGTTTTTTTGTTTTTTGTTTTTTTAGTATAATGCTTCATCCCAGCAGCAAAGAGAAATAATTAAAAGTAGGAGCCTGGACAGGCGGCTGCAAGAACCAATTGTATTAACAAAGTGGAGACATAGCACCATTGTGTTGGACACCAATGACAAGGTAGGACTTTTTGAGATAATCTGTTGAGAATATTGAACGTTCTTTTTATTCTTTATACTTTTATTTTTTCCTTAGCTGCATCTCATACTTCGGTAACTATTGTTTTATTGTGTATAGTGTCAATTTGTCCTGGAATGGGTTTTGGTTTTGTAGTTTATCGATTTTTGCGCAGTGGACTGACTCATCTGTGGCTTAATAATATATGTATTTGAGCCTAGGAGGTGGTAGATATTTCTGATAACCCTGTTAGCAAAACCCAGTCATATATCTGTTATTGTTTGTCTTCAGTCTCTGGGAGGTTTTACTAGTAAAGACATTTAATTAATTTCTTCATATTGTGGGAGAATTGGAATCCCATGCTTCTGTTTCCCTAATTGTTTTCTGCACAAAGGACTTCTTTTACTAATCTGAGAAGTAATGTTCTCTGTTTCAAATAAGGGATAAATTTTGATGCAAACATCAGAATGGAAAACCTATAAAGTTTTTACTTTTCATGTGACTTTTCTTTTTATGTTGTAGCTTCATTTTGGGGATGGAGTAGGAAATTCGTATGAATTTGTAGAACATTAGCCATACTAATGTAAAAATGTGAGGGTGGTGGTAACACTCTAAAAACCTTATTTTAAAAAGATATTTGTCATTGGGGACTCTTTTTGTTTTACCATCAGACTTCTCTTTTGGCATAATTAACAGGTTTCTTGCATTTTCGGATGTGTTAGTGGAAACAGAATGAATTTTCTTAAGGCATAGTTATATTTGGGTACTCACTTGTAAATTCCTTTATAAATTAATCAGTCCAAACAAGTTTGTTTTTTAGTGACTATAATGTTGGTTTTCATGAAATTAAATGGAAGACTTTTTGTGCAGCTGTAGAAACAGTCTTCACACATTGTGTATAAGATAGACTAATAGAACAACAATGAAAGTAGTAGACCAGTTTGTAATTTATATTTTGTAAGGATAATATGTGATTTGAATGTAGAGGGCATGTCAAAGGAAAGACATTCTGGAATCTGCTGTTGAAGAATACTTGAAAATATTTTAGCATTGAGAATAACATGAGTAGCTAAGATTCCTAGGGATTTTAATAGAAAATTCATTTAACTCCAGGAACCAGATTACAATTCAGTGTACACAGCAGGCTTGTAAATGTTGTCATATATAATGCTCTAATGCAAAAGCCATTGTTGAACCAACTCCACTGCCTCTTCGTTTTAGAACAAAAGGGATGATTATATTGCTGATACAGACTTACAGTTTCTCTTTTAAAATCTTTTTTGAGATTTATTTTCAGTCTCTTATTAGAATAACTTGCTTGAAGTTCTCATGACATTTCTTTTTATAATCTGAGTGTTTCAGAGTTGTGAGAGCATGATTTTCTTGAGACCAGAGATTTACTTATTTTTGATGGAAATATTTTGTTTTTTTTTTCCTGCACCTTAACCTTTAAAAATGGAATCCTAGATAAAGTAAACTTTTCTGTTTATTATCACCACCTACTATATATGTTTTTAAGATTTGAGGTTATGGGGCACCTGGGTGGCTCAGTCGTTAAGCGTCCGCCTTCGGCTCAGGTCATGATCCCAGGGTTCTGGGATCGAGCCCCACATCGGGCTCCCTGCTCTGCGGGAAGCCTGCTTCTCCCTCTCCCACTCGCCCTGCTTGTGTTCCCTCTCTCGCTGTGTCTCTCTCTGTCAAATAAATAAATAAAATCTTTAAAAAAAAAAAAAGATTTGAGGTTATGAAAGAGGGACTGTACCTGAACAAACTAGCTGACCGATGTATGATGAGGGTTAAAGAGTGTGTAACTTGAAATGTGATAAAGAAACCTAATACTATGTAGCAAATATTGTTCTGATGATATAAGTCCTAATTCAGTTGTCAGACAACACTGGAGGAGGTAGATGTGTATGTCTGTGTGTGTGTGTGTATATGTATGGGTGCATCTGTTTCTGCCTATGTATGGTTTTTACTAAAATCTGCTAGTTGTAGGCATTTAAGATAAATTTAGATATGCACATACACTTATAAATATATGTGTGAAATCTTTGTTATAGAAATTATAATTGTTGTACTTATATTTTTCCTCCATTTGCTGTGGTTTTTATTTCTATAGGACTGATAATCCCATGAAAAATAAATTGTGATTACCATTCACTTACTTTCTACTTTGTGGGTCATCAGATCTTTCTTTCATCTTTTTTCCAAGCTTTTAATATTAGACACTCCTAGAAGTCAAGAAATTGGAAAGTGAAACATCTGAAGTGGTCAGAAAAATAATACTTAAATGAGGCTATACTGGATTTGGATATTATGTATAATTTTTTTTTGTAAAGGTATAATTTGATATGATTTTAACGTTTTCTTCACTAGTAGTATAGGCCTTGGATGTTTGATTTGTAAGGTTGTCCCTTCAAGGATTTTCCCTGCTTTCACTGCTATCTAGTTTTTGTGTTTACAAATTTTATATGGTATAAACCTGAAGACTTTTTTCCAAGTGAATGGATATGGTGTTAATGGTTTGTGTATTATGATTTAATATGAATACTCAGATTTGTTAACGGTACCTTGTCCAGTTTCATAAGCATGGTAAAGTAGATTGATAGAGATGTGGAGATGAATGTGCAAAGACATTATTTGGTTTATAAGAAAATTAATAATCGGTGTTGGCATATGATTTTTCTCATTTTCTTTTCCTGAGATTATTCAAAGCATTTACGGGAATGGAAAAGATTTAAATGGAGCTTGGCTGTTGGTACCAAAAATGTGTTTTTTCAGTCTTGTCCTCTATGAAGAGTCTTACGAACATCTGTGGTAGAAATCACATAGTGTGTTTTAATATTGACAAAGCCGAATTGCTTTTAAAATACACATTATTGATTTGCTCCTATGATATATTTTTGTAGGCTTAAACTTAAAACATTTTTTTTTTCTGGTGAGTTATTAATCTTTAAAATTTCTTCTTTGCATTTAAAAACTCACTTTTTTCTAATAATTGGAAAGTTATCTGTAAATTACTGTAAATATTAATGCAATTAAATGAAGTTCTCATTCTGGCAGTTGCCACATCACTCCTGTGACTATTGGCTTGCCTAGTCCTGGGTATTCAGACCGACTGCAACAAGAGCCAGTTCGTATGGTGACTATTACATTTTTATCGCTCAGTGTTTAGATTTTACCTATTTTAAAAGTGGTCAGTTCAGGCTGATACAACATCATGGTTTTAAGGCAACATGCATCATTTCTTTTTATTAATTCCGTATGCAGTATTTAAATTAAACTATAATCAGCATAAAATATGCCATATTTCATAAACTTTCAGACAACTCTAGTTTGCAAATCAGTGTCATATTAGTTTCAGAGCTGAATGTAGAAAGGTAATAACTAGGAAAAGATTTTTTGAGCTTCCCTTATTAAGCTCTCCCACCGTCAATAGAGGGAGAAATGTAATGATATAAAATAGAGTAACATTTTTCATTACTTATTTCTTGTAGGAATCTCCAACTGCCTCAAAACCCTGCTTTCCTGAAAATGAATCTTCTCCCTCTTCACCAAAGCACCAAGATACAGTTAGTATGATAGCCTATAGTATAATATAGTCCAGTTATTTCAATCAGTTTCAATAAATTAATTTTCTCTAAATGTAATGTTTAAATATTTCCTGGGCTTCTCTTAACTTTCATTGGTTTTTCAGATACTAATCATAATTAAAATAGGTTTAAACTAAGAATTTAATCAGTTTTAGAGACTTAAAAGCCCCTTTTAATGCAAAATAGGGTATCTTCATGATTAATTTATATACCATATTTGTAAGTGATACATTCATATTTGGTTTTTAAAAAATAAAAATCCCTGGAAAATGCTATCAAGTTATACTTTAATCTTTTTTCCTCAGGCCAGCAGTCCAAAGGTAAGCAGTTTCCCTCCTTCTTAATGAGGACAGGCGTTCTGTGCTTAAAATACATGCCCAGTCTATGCCGGATGAATATTAGAGATCTGTAACTCAACTGTAAGTTTGCCCTAAACTGAAAACCTCCAGTTGACTTCTCCTCAGAGACCTGGTTTAACTTGGATGAAAGTTTACTTGATCTGTGTCTTTGTAGTCCCTCCTGTCTTTCCCAAAGTTGGCTGATTCTGCTATAACCCCTCAGTGGCTTTCCTTTTCTTTCAGGATGAAGGCCAAAATTTTTAATGAGGACTATAAGACTGAGCATGCGCTGGCTCTTGACTGCCTCTCCAGCCTCGCCTCAGACTTCTTGGGTCCTCTACTTCCCTCCTTGCTTCTTTTCCTCCAGCCGCACTGTACATCTTTCCTCAAAAGAGCCTGCTTTTCAGCTCAAGGGCCTGGTACATGTCATTCCTCTGCCCACTGAACCATTTCTCTCCCACATCTTTGCCTGTTAACGTCTGTTCATTCATTAGAGGGTTCAGTGCAGATTTTGCTTCCTCAGAGAATTTTATTCGAATCTTCTAGATTTGGTCAGGTTTCTCTGTAATACTCTTTGTAGCGTATAATTATATGTTACTTGATTATATTAAATAGAATAACACTTTTCATTTTTTATTTCTTGTCGAAACCTCAAACCCTCTATTTGTGTCCATCTTCCCTACTAGACAAAGTAAAAGCTTCATTAGAGCAGGAATAATCTCAGTAACTACTGTGTACCATATACTAGCTGTTCAGTAAATATTTATTGAATGAATAAATGAAACTTTTAAAGCTTTTTAAAAGACAAACCTTTACTGTTACTTCCTTATTTTATAAAACTGTAATAGACTTATTTATGGGATATTTCTGATCTTTTTAGAGGCAAAGTTTTCCGCAGATGTCATTTTATTTTTCTAACTCTCTTTCCATTCCCTGACTGAATCAGATCTTTTATGGTTCATATCACATGTTTTACACATTTCCCTGACATTGCTCAGGTGGTTCCCCCTGCCTACAGTGGTCCTTGGCTTTTGTACACTTCAAGTTAGAAAAAAATTTTTTTAAAAAAGATTTTAATTATTTGACAGAGAGAGAGAGCACAAGCAGGGGGGAAGGGGCAGAAGGAGAGGGAGAAGCAGGTTCCCCACTGAGCAGAGAGCCTGACGCGGGGCTCCATCCAAGGCCAGGACCCTGAGATCATGACCTGAGCTGAAGGCAAGACACATGACTGAGGCACCCATGTGCCCCAAAGTTAGAAAAGGTTTTAAGATTGACTCTTTAAGAGGCCTTGCCAGACTAACCTTAGCATAATAATGATCTCTTCGTCTTTTCCTCGATTTCCAAGTCACTTATCAAATAGTGTAAATGTTACCTCATGGACCCCCCCCCCATCTCCCTACTAAGGTTTTAAAGTCCTACTAAAGGATGGATAGTGACTACTTTCCTCTTTTTTGTCTTTTGCATTATTTAACACTGTCCTGGGTACATTAACATTAAAGATGAAAGTGACTATGATTTTAGTGGTGGTGTCAGGAATTATTGTATGAATCTAAGGTGTTGTTACTACAGTGCATCTAGAAAAAAAGCAGAAACCCTTTCTAACTTATTTTAAATATAGGTAATACGTAATTGCCAAGGAGACCTTTTATAAATTATTTACATTTTGGTAAAAAGGAATCTTTAGGTTAGCCTAGAAACATGAATTTGCAGATGTTCCACATGGAGGTAAAAGGTCGATTTGCAAATTATTTCCCAAACCATTTACCCCTTTTCTCAAATTTGACAGCCAACTAGACCATCCTGGATTCACGATACCCCCTGCTGGCCACCACAGGGAACTGCCTCACCAGTATTTTTCTTCATTGTTTTGTCTTAGAGTGAAAGATGAAATAGCTTTGTTCATTCTACCTGAGTCCATTCTTTTTTTCCCATAAAAATACAGCTCTGCTTTCCCGCTCCAGAGGGCACCTCTTCCGTGCTGTCTTGCCCCTCCTCACTGAGGCTTTTTCCCTCCTTGACTTTTCCCTCTCTTGGCCCTTCACTCCCTCCTCTCAACTTGTGCTGTTTCCATTGAGTCTCACCTGTTTTTTTCACTCTTACCCAGTTAATACGAGCAGCTATCTTTTCCCTCTTTGTGAGTTAAAATCCTAAGCCTTAGTGGTAAGAAAAAGGAAGCTACAAATTTAGGAATGAAAATAGTGTAATCAGTGTTAGCTATCTGATGTCATTTCAAAATCTCTGCAAATTGCCCATCCACCTCTTTAGTCTCTTCTGTTTTGTTTTTATAAAAAGCTTTATTGAAATGTAATTTATATACTGTATGATTTGCTCACTTAAGTGTACAGTTAAGTGGTTGTTAGTATATTCAGAAATGTGCAGCCGTCATCACAATTTTAGAATATTTTCATCGCCTTGGGAAGAAACCACATTCTATTTAGTATCACCTGTCTAACCTCCACGTCTCACCAAGCCCTGAACAACCAGGAATCTACTTTCTGTCTCACTGGATTTGCCTATTCTGGACATTTCATAAGAGTAGAATCCTATAATATGTGGTCTTTTTTTGACAGACTTTGTTCATTTAGTACAATGTTTTCATGTAAGCTTTTCTAATTAAACCAGATTTAAAATTCCATCCCTTAATACAAATTTTAAACATGTTCATTTTTTTCTTGTTTCGTTTCCAATTTTCAGATGCATTATTGTTATTTTTCACGGCCCCTTCAAATCCTTTTTTGAAATACCCAGCACATACTTTTTAAAAAGATCAATGTTCTCCTTCTGTACAGTATGAGTACAGTGTGGATCAAATAGGATTTTTTGGACTGATCTGAGAACCCAGTCTCTGTTTGTCCCAGTGTATCTATGACAGATGTGCATTTTATTTTTTAAAGTTTTATTTAAATTCCAGTTAACATACAGTATGATATTAGTTTCAGGTGTACAATATAGTGATTCAACACTTCCATACAACACCTCGTGCTCATCACAAGTGCACCCCTTAATCCCCATCACCTATTTCACCCATCCACTCACCCACCTCCCCTCTAGTAACCCTCAGTTCGTTCTCTATAGTTAAGAGTCTGTTTCTTGGTCTCTTTATTTTGTTAAACTCCACATATGAGTGAAATCATATGGTATTTGTCTTTCTCTGACTTATTTTGCTTAGTATAATACTCTCTAGCTCCATCCATGTCATTGCAAATGGCAAGATTTCATTCTTTTTTTATGGCTGAGTAATACTCCAGATAGATGTGCATTTTGAAGTTTCCAGTCACTGAATACTGAGTAAAATTTAAGAATATATAATTTGGAAACTTGAGTTTTTTGACCCTGTATTTACAATTATGGTATTAAAATGCATTGGAGAGAAAAAAATGCATTGGAGAAAAGAATATTTTAACACTTTCTTTAGCAAAAGTATTATGGACATATTTGTTAATGTTTTTTTCATTGAATAGAACTGTTCTAAAGCCTTTTTAAGAAACATGATTTAAACATCTAATTTTTTAAAACACTAGTTCTTTAATATATATATATATTTTTAAAGATTTTATTTATTTATTTGACAGAGACACAGCGAGAGAGGGAACACAAGCAGGGGCAGAGTGAGAGGGAGAAGCAGGCTTCCCACGAGCAGGGAGGCTGACGTGGGGCTCGATCCCAGGACCCCGGGATCATGACCTGAGCTGAAGGCAGACGCTTAATGACTGAGCCACCCAGGCGCCCCTAAAATATATTTAAAAAAAAATTTTTTGGGGGGTGGGGCAGAGGGGGAGAAAGAATCTTAAGCAGGGTCCATGCTCAGCACAGAGCCCAACACAGGGCTTAATCTCGTGACCCTGAGATCATGGCCTGAACTTAAATCAAGAGTCAGATGCTTAACCAACTGAGCCAGCTGGGTTCCCCTAAAATATTTTTTTTTATTGAGGTGAAATTCATATAACAGAAAATTAGCCATTAACCATTTTAAAGTATACATTTAAATGGCATATAGTATATTTACAGAGTGTGCAGTGATCACTTCTACCTGGCTTCAGGACATTTTCATTACCTGAAAGGGCAACCCATTCCCATTAAGCATTCACCCCACATTTCCCCATCACCTTTTCCTCTCCCCTGGCAACCACTAGTTTGTCTTCTCTCCTTGTCAACTTACCTGTTCTGGAAGTTGCATCACCTGGTTCTTCAACCACTATATCACTGTGCAAAGTTACTCTGTATTAAAAAAAATACTTATTGCATGATTAACTGAAGATAAGGAATTTGATGGGTTGTATTGATTTTGGTATATGATAATTGTTAGCCAAATTGGGAAATTCCTGTTTACCAAATAAATGCAACATTGATTAGAAATTCTGGACCCTGCAGGGGCACCTGGGTGGCTCTGTTGGTTAAGCGGCTGACTCTTGATCTCAGCTCAGGTCTTGATCTCTCAGGGTTATGAGTTCAAGCCTCACATTGGGCTCCATGCTGGGCATGGAGCCTACTTAAAAAAAAAAAATTCTGGAGCCTGCAAAGTGATTATGAGCCTGTGGAAATTTTCCCAGATTACTAAATAGAACTAACATTTTATTGTTTTCTTACCCTATTAGGATAGGGTAATCTACGTACAGTCATTTTGATTAAATTTTAACCATATTTTGCTAGTCCTTATTAAAACATTTCTGCTTATTTTCAGTATGAAGTTTCCTTTGGAATATCAAATCTATTTAGACTAAGAAATATTCGTGTGTAAATATGGGCATTTTTTGCAGGATTTAACAGGATATTTTTATGGAGTTTTTTTAGTAAGCAACACAAAAACATTGGTTGTTTTGAATCATATTAAGTAGCGAAAGTACACCAAAAAGTATGTCCATCAAAAACTAATGATGTATTCTATGGTGACTAACATAACATAATAAAATAAAATTAAAAAAAGTATGTTCAAAATCTAAATTTTTTCCCCAAACCTCTCACCTGTGTAGTCAAACCTCTATTATTCATCTGCCTCTTTAGCACTTTTATATCAAACTCAGAAACTTCAGTGTTTAAAAGTTAAAGCTTTATTTTCTCCATCACTGGCATTCTTTTATATTCCTTTCTTGGAATAGCACTGCTAATATGTTGGTTAATTACTTCAACAGATATGTATTGTATCACACATCAACTACATGCCGTAGACACTGGTCATACATTGATGAACACAGCAGATATGGTCTCAATGTACAGCCCAATAAAATAGACTGTAAATAGAAGATGTAATTGTACTTTGCATTAAGTGCAATGAAGGGACCAAACTGGGGGCAGTGGTTAATAATGGGAGGTGTAGAGGAGCTCCTACTTAAGAGTGGTGTGGGAAAGCTTCTCTAAAAAAGTGTCATTAAAACTGAGATACCACCATCTACCCAGTTGTTCAAGCTTGGGAGTTTTCCTCAGATCTGCCCTCTTTCCCTCCTATCCAGTCCCTGTCAATTCTGTCTTCTGAATCTCTCAAATTTGGCTCCTCATCACTTGCTCACATGCACTGCCCTAGCTCAGGCCTTCACCATCTCCTGTGGTAATTACTAGAATGTATTCTGGTTGGTTCCCTGTCTTGCCACCCTTTCTTAGTTCATACTTTACACTGCTTCATTTCTTTGCTACTTCACCTCACCCATTACTTTGAGGGAACTTAAAGGCCCTCAGATATGATATGCTCTCTTTCACTTCTGTACCTTTATACTTTGCTTTCATCTCCGACTGTCACCATCTAGCTAACCCCAATTCCTTAGCTCAAGAGTCTCCAGGAAGCCTTCTCTTCACTCCCTCTGTCTTTCAGGTTAAGTTAGATACACCTTTCCCATAACACTTACCATGTTGTATGCCAGGTATTTTTGTATTTGTACATTTTGAATGTGGCAAATTTTGTTCTTATTTTATGTTCAAATTAGAGTGTTTAATACTTAAAGCATTAGTACTGGGGTCTTGATCCCTGTGAGAATTGCATGAGCGTTCTGGACCCTTGAACAATGTATATACTATCCACGCACAATTTTGTACCAGTTTCAGTCCATCCATTGCCTCAGGTAAGAATCCCTGATTTAGAACGTCTCACTCATCCTTAAGCTTATGTGGTCTGTCACTACTCCTATCCCTTCCATTTTTCTTCGGTATTTCTCTCATGCCTCAGCTCTTTTGTCCTGTTCAGTTCCCGCTTTGGCATTTTTTTATAGGCTTGATTCCCACTCCTGCTCTTCTGATTCCTGCGTTGCCTAGCTCACATAAGCACTGCCATCCTCTCAGATTAATGTTGTACTTAGTTCCTATATCTTTGAAAGTTTTTTTTCCTTCCTGCTTCTGATAGTAAATTGGGAATGTTTTTACTTAATATCTTGTGCATACTTGTAACTGTGTGATTGATGTTTTTGTTAAGAGGCAACAGCTCTTAGAAGTATCAGACTTGCATATCTAAGGAGATCTAACCTATGCTTCATGAAAAAATTACAATAAAACTTCATGTGACTGTTTCCCAAGTTCCCAGTGTACCACAAATGAATTAACATTAATACTTTATCAGCTTCGTTTGTAGGTGAGAGTTTTTATCAGGCTAGGCAAAACTTTCAAACATTATTTTTTAAACATTATGTCCCATACAAGAAAGATTTATCTTTTTCTAAAGGAAGTACATTGAGAAAATAGCCGAGGTATGGATTAAATAGAAATAAATTCTGAATGGGGAATAGTTTTTCTGTGTGCTGCGCGAATGTATGTTTCAGTTGAAGTACATTTGCTCTGTCATGTATATACAGTGCTTACTAATATTGATGATTGCTATAGACACCGACTCATTTTGATTACATTTAGTTGAATATTGGAAGCTAAAGCAATGGGGAAGTGTTTCCTTTCTTCTACCTGGAGGAATTTTAAGATGACCGTTAACCTCAGCAAAGTGGCTCTTGCTTTCCTGGGGTTTGGTGATAAAGCTGGGTCACTATTTTTGACATCAGCCAACTAGTGTATCTGGTTTGTCCAGAGCCCCAGTTTACCATCTGACAATATATGTAATGAAGCTCATACTGAATTTTTTAATGCCACCTTACGGCCAGTTCTATGTATAATAACATTTACTTTTGAGTAATTTATTAATGCAGTTACTGCATTTGTTCTATCTAGTTATTTTTACATTTGACAAAGCAGGTTAGTGTCTTAAATGATTTTCAGACTTTTATTGCTGCAAAATAACAGCAAAGTAAATAATTGCTTTTTGTGGTATTTATCATTATAGCATTATATTACTTTCTTTGAACAGGAAGTCATAAATCATTTTTCCAGTGCTGACTAGTGGTATTCATGTGGAAATCTGATTTGATAGCAAAGTACTTTATGGTTGCCAGGACTTGAGGAAAAGTTTAATTGTAAAATTACTGAAAATAACTATACAGAAGTATTAGGAAATTGTATTCCCTAATATACTTTAGAACTAAGCGTATTACATACTGACTAATCGTATTCATGTGGAAATCTGATTTGATAGCAAAGTACTTTATGGTTGCCAGGACTTGAGGAAAAGTTTAATTGTAAAATTACTGAAAATAACTATACAGAAGTATTAGGAAATTGTATTCCCTAATATACTTTAGAACTAAGCGTATTACATACTGACTAATTTTTTTTTTAAGCTAATTTTTAGAGTACCAGATCATTTTGATTCAATCATATGTAAGAATTTGGACCTCATTGTCTATGTGAATGATGTATAAACAGTATTACTCTGTTCCATAGGGTCAAGAAAAATATGGATTACTAAATGTAACAAAAATTACTGAAAATGGGAAAAAGGTTCGGTAAGTACAAAACCATTAATGTTCTGGCATGTTTTATTTGATTGAAATAAGTAAAAGCTATGAGTACAGTTACATTCTAGTGGAAATGATTAAAAGGTTCATAAGAATTTGAAATAATGTATTTTCTAATATGTATGTAGGATTGTCATGAAATGTATGAAAATCTTCCTTTGTCTTGACATATTTTTTAAGGTTATATTAAATTCAGGGGTGATAAAGCATAGGATTCTGAGCAAGCGTTAGCTTTATTTGAAAAAAATTTTCCAGGGGTGCCTATGTGGCTCAGTCGGTTGGGCGTCTACCTTTGGCTCAGGTCATGATCCCAGCGTCCTGGGGTCGAGTCCCACATCGGTCTCCCTGCTCAGTGGGGAGCCTTCTTCTCCCTCTGCCCCTCCCCCTGCTTGTGCGCTCTCTCTCTCTCCCTCTCTCTCTCAAATAAATAAATAAAAATTTTTTTTCAGTAAGCGGTAAGTGCACACGGTAAAAGTATTTAGCCAAAAGTCAATTACCCAGCCGTGATTTCCATTCCCCAGAGGCAGCTAGTTAAGTGAATGAGATGTAGTGTTTTCCTTCGGAGATAGAAGATATATATATTTCTATATGCATAGATTAATTTTTTTAATGTACATATTTTAAAGATTTTATTTGAGAGAGAATGAGTGTGAGTGTGCACATTGGAAGGAAGGGCAGACGGGGAGGGAGAGAGAATCTTGAGCAGTTTCTGAGCTGAGTGCCAATCCCAACGCAGGGCTGGCTCTCACAACCCTGAGATGATGACCTGAGCCAAAACCAAGAGACCGATGCTCAAGTGACTGAGCCACCCGGGTGCCCCTGCATAGGTTAATATTTTAACAAACTGAGCCACCCAGGCACCCCTAGGTTAATTTTTTAAACACAGTCTTTGAACAGTTTATTTTGTAGATGGTTCTATTTTGTTGCATGTGGAGCCACCACATTGTTTTTAACTGTTCCTTGGTTATATATTGTGTGGCTGTATCCTAGTTTATTTAGCCATATGGTAGGTAAATATGCCTGTCCATTGCTAGACATTTAGAATGTTTACGTTGTTTGAGCTGTTGCAAACAGTATTACACTTACATCTTACATAGTTCATTTTGCAAATATGTAAATCCCTGTGGAATAGATTTTACAAAAGTGGAATTGCTAAGCTATGTGCAGTAGTCATTTTGATAGTGTTCCATATTACGCTCTAAGGCACTGAAGCAGTTCATACTTACAAAAGCAGTGGATTTCTCTACACCTTTGCCAATTCGATATGTTGTCCACTTTTTTGATCTTTGCTAATAGAGATTAGAGAATGATATTTTTAATTTGTATTACTTTTTAGTGTGGTAGGGTATCCTAAGCCATTTGTATGTCTTTTTGTTGTTGTTGTTAATTTGTCAGTTCATCCCCTTTATCTGTTTGTCTGTTGGGTTGTTGGCTTTTTTGGTTGTGTGGTATCTCCTAATGAATTAAGGAAATTAACTCTTTGTAATAAGCAAGTTGCATTTTCCCCAGTTTTTAAGAACTGCTAAAATGCTATGAGTTAATAGTCAACAGAGATCAGCCTGTTGTGTAAAGAAGAGTTTAAAATTTACATGTAGTTTTTAAGATTTGCTTTAAAAATGAACTGTCTTTGTCACATTTTAGTACTTGGAAATTTTTCTTTTGAGTGCTCTGAAACAGCTTTACAAATACTGCAATTATTTGTTCCTTAAATTGTTCCTTGGGCGAAGTCACTTGTGAATGGGGTCTTTATTTTTCCTTTCTCCCTTTTGGGCATATGTAGTGCACCTAGTTCTTTGGCCACTTTCTCTTTTTTCATTGTTGTCGTTTTTCCTGTGGTAATTAGTCTTTTAGATTTTCTACTTATTTTGGAAAACTTTCGGTGATTTATGTTTTCCAAAGAATATCATCTATTTCATCTTTAAATTTATTTATGTAGAGTTGAGCAAACTAGTTTTTTAATTTCCTGTATATTAGTGATTCTCAAACATTTTGATCTGAGGACCCCTTTAAACTCTTAAAAATTATTGATTGCTGCAAAGAACTTTTTATGTGTATAGTTTATAGCTGTAGATTTGAGAAATTAAAGCTGAGACATCTTAAGTTTTTTAATTCTTAAAACTAATAACCCCATTATATGTTAACGTGAGTAACATTTTTATAAAGGAAAAACCCCTGTATTTCCAATACAAAAATTTTCCTTGAGAAGTGTGGCATTGTTTCACATTTTTGCAAATCTTTAGTATTTGGCTTAATGGAAAACAGCTGGATCCTCATCTCTGCTGGCAGGCAGTCTGTTGTATGTGAAGATAATCCTTTTCTTATATAAAGTTGGAAAAGGGAGGAGTGTTTTAATATTCTTCTTAGACAATTGCGTGTATTTTTCTGCTACACCAAAACTCCGCAAGTTAAGACTGTGAAAAACTGTTAATGAACTTTTCATACTTAGTTATGTCAAAATCCATTGGTCTGGGGGAGCCTGGGTGGCTCAGTCGGTTAAACATCTGCCTTTGGCTCCTAGAGTCCCAGGATCAAGCCCCGAATCGAGCCCCGAATCAGGCTCCCTACTCAGTGGGGAGTCTGCTTCTCCCTTTGCCCCTCACCCTGCTCTCGTGCTCTCTCTCTCTCAGATAAATAAATAAAATCTTAAAAAAGCATTGGTCTGTGTTGCATTTTGAAGGAATCTTTACCTGTACGTAATTTTGTAACATCTTGCAGATCATTTGGAAAATACTGGTTCACTAAGTTTGCTGATTTTTCAAATGTTGACATATTTTATAATATCAAAGAATCACAAATCAGTAACATCATCAGAAAAGTCATTAGATATTGGAAAATTGTCAGCCTCACAGTGGCAGATATGCCAAGTTTTCCAAAATTCTATTTTCCCTTTGAAAGCTTCAGTTTTTTGTCAACAAATACTATCATTTAAATGACAGATTCACTTCATTTATTTTTGAGATAATGTCTACCTGCCAGATACTCAAGTCTAAATAATCATAGTGTGACCGTCAGTCATTTTAATTTTTTTTCCAGGAAAAAAATGTGACTAATTCTGCTTGCAACTGAGGTGCGCAAGTGCTTCAGTCTTTGAGGCAGCTATTGTTAATTCAGTATTCAAATATCCAATATTCGGAGTACCTGGGTGGCTCAGGTCATGATCCCGGAGTCCTGGGATCGAGCCCCACATCGGGCTCCCTGCTCAGTGGGAAGCCTGCTTCTCCCTTTCCCACTCCCCCTGCTTGTGTTCCCTCTCTCGCTGTGTCTCTCTCTGTCAAATAATAAATAAAATCTTTAAAAAAAATCCAATATTCTTAGATATATTTGCTAGTTCTACGGCTTTTGATTTTGAAAATTAAATTCAAAAAGTTTATTTAAAGTGGAAATACACTGATTTTAGCATTTTTCAGAGGAGGGAGTTAGTAGATGCTCTCTAGAAATAGAAGATTGAGTATAAAATAAACTTACAAATAAAAATAAGTCCCTTCAAAATATCTTGAGATCCACACAAAACAAAATAATAAAATGAAGATGTAACAAAATGATAACACAAGGGCCAGATATCAATATCAATAAATGTAAATGGACTGTACTCCCCTGTTGAAAGAAAAAGATGTTCAGATTGAAGCACAAAACAAAACCCACCTAAATATTATATATAAAGAAAACATCATAAAAATGATTCAGAAAAGTTAAACAGGCATGTGAAAATCATCGATAAATCAGCAGTAAAGATCTAATCATTAAGAATAGCCATTCACCAGCCAACAGACACATGAAAAAGTGCTCAACATCGCTCGGCATCAGGGAAATCCAAATCAAAACCTCAATGAGATACCACCTCACACCAGTCAGAATGGCTAAAATTAACAAGTCAGGAAACGACAGATGTTGGCAGGGATGCGGAGAAAGGGGAACCCTCCTACACTGTTGGTGGGAATGCAAGCTGGTGCAACCACTCTGGAAAACAGTATGGAGGTTCCTCAAACAGTTGAAAATAGAGCTACCATACGATCCAGCAATTGCACTACTGGGTATTTACCACAAAGATACAAATGTAGGGATCCGAAGGGGTACGTGCACCCCGATGTTTATAGCAGCAATGTCCACAATAGCCAAACTGTGGAAAGAGCCAAGACGTCCATCGACAGATGAATGCATAAAGAAGATGTGGTATATATACACAATGGAATATTATGCAGCCATCAAAAGGAATGAGATCTTGCCATTTGCAACGACGTGGATGGAACTGGAGGGTGTTATGCTGAATGAAATAAGTCAATCAGAGAAAGACATGTATCATATGACCTCACTGATATGAGGAATTCTTAATCTCAGGAAACAAACTGAGGGTTGCTGGAGTGGTGGGGGGTGGGAGGGATTGGGTGGCTGGGTGATAGACATTGGGGAGGGTATGTGCTATGGTGAGCACTGTGAATTGTACAAGACTGATGAATCACGAATCTGTACTTCTGAAACAAATAATGCAATATATGTTAAGAAAAAGAAGAAGATAGCAGGAGGGGAAGAATGAAGGGGAGTAAGTCGGAGGGGGAGACGAACCATTAGAGACGATGGACTCTGAAAAACAAACTGAGGGTTCTAGAGGGGAGGGGGGTGGGGGGATGGGTTAGCCTGGTGATGGGTATTAAAGAGGGCACATTCTGCGTGGAGCACTGGGTGTTATGCACAAAGAATGAATCATGGAACACTACATCAAAAACTAATGATGTAATGTATGGTGATTAACATAACAAAATAGCATTAACAGCCATGAGCAAAAACAACAGGAAATAAAAGGAAAAATAGAAACTCAATAGTAGTAAACTTTATTTCACTTTTAATCCATGAAGTTCAAGTATACATAGAAAATAACAAAGTAGGTCTAATTGATAGTTATTAAATTCTAAATTCTGAAAATGGAGAACTCCTTTTGAGTGCCCATAGAATTTTCACAAAACTGTCAGTATATTTGGTAGTAAGGTTTGCTTTAATAAATTTCTGTAGTAGACATATTTGACGTTCATTTTAGTCTGCCAATGATTGCATTCCATTGGTTGTCTCTGGAATGTGGATTGAAGGAGAAGAAATGGGGACCTTTCTTTTTATACATTTTTATATTTAGAATTTTGATATATGTGTTGATTTTATAACAATTAAAAAGAACCCTCATCTTAGTAACATCGTGATCAATAAGTATGTAATTTATTGTATCTAGTATCTCCCATTTACCTAGTGTAGCCTTATTAGGGGAAGGGGGATAACCAAGAAATATAAAAATAAAATATAAATAAAATAAGGATAAACATATATATATATAAATATATATAAATATAAAAATAAATATAAAATAAAACAAAAAATATAAAAAATATAAAACCTCATCTTAGTAACCTCTGATCAATGACTATGTAATTTATTATACCTACTATCTACTAATGTGCCTAGTATCTCCCAATTACCTAGTGTAGTCTTATTAGGGGAAGGGAGATAACCAAGAAATATGAAACAATAGAATTAGGTGAGGTGGACAAGGTTTCCTGATTTTTAATCATGAATAATTCTTGCCAAATACAGAGTTGAGTTCATGTTCCTTCAAGGTAATTTGGTACCCTTGATCACAAGTGTGCTGGATTACCATGTGAACATAATTAGGTATATAGTTATTCTGATAACATCTCTATTAGCTTCATTTGGGGGGCCTTTATGGTCAGTTTGGAACCATAAAATGAATGTAATTCCATTAGCATTATATCCTCAATAAAAACAATTAGAATGTCAATAATTAATGTAAATTGTGGGCAACATTGATAACTAGGTTGTAATATTTTAAATTTGGTTGGAAAAACGGAATAGCAAAGCTTTAGTTGGTTCTCTTTATACTTACAGAAAGAACTGGTTGTCTTCTTGGGCCGTGTTGCAAGGTTCATCTTTACTCTTTACCAAAACTCAAGGAAGCAGCACAAGTTGGGTAAGTATTTCTTCTCTTGAAGGCTTTACACATTAAATTATGTGGATGGTATTGTACCTGAATTTCACAAAGTATTTCAGAGTCCTTCTAGCTACAGCTGGTGTGCAAATAAAAGTAAATAAAGTTTTTTAAAAGATGCATTTTGACTTGTAACAAAAGAGGAGGGCTAATTAGAAGTCTGATTAGTTGTATTATTAAAATCAACAAAGTCTATTTTATCCACTGAACTGAAAGATGGGCTTCCTACTTGGACATTATAGGACAAAATAGATATCTTGATTCAGCTCCGGGTATTACAGGTTTCCCCTGCTGTCCAAAAGCAGGGTGCTCCTATGAAACCTCTGTAAAGCAAAGAAGCAGTTATCATTAATCTATATGGAAAAATTTTTGAGCATTCCCAGACCCCCCGCCCCCCCCCCTAGAAAAAACCTTTTAGGTGTTTCTGATACTTTAGGGATATATATCTTGCTAATGGATGCACAGAGGAGCTAAAACACAGATGCTCACACAGTCCAAACTATGGTGGAGGGATGCTGACATGCTGAGTGTGGTTTCCTGAGAAGGAGCTTAGTGAGCCACTTTGCTCAGGGTGCATGCTACTTCCTTTAATTGCTCGCAGTGCAACAAACACTGAACACTATTTTCACTTTTAACCTTTTTTAATGAAAATGGAAATACTCATCAGATTTGTTTTGGCTAGCAAAAACAGGTACTAATATCAGTCTTTTGTAAAAAGCAAAGTGGTGTAATGTGAACTTTTGAAAAGCAGGGGATACCTGTAAAACTTCCTTGTGCTTGTGACTTGGCTAATTCAGCTAGTCAGAAAATAAGCAAAGAAATATGTCAAGCCCCACCTTGAATTGTAATCTGATCTTTGGATACTAGTCGGTGATTCAGGTGTCCATATCTGTATATAATGTCAGCCAGCTTTTAGAAGAATAAGTAAATGTCCCATTACTCATGGGGTTTTGAAGTTTTTTTTGTATATCTGAATGTTTACTATTGTTACTCCTTGGTTAATTTGTAATACAAATACTAAAAATTATAATTTGTGACATATAACAGCTAACACTTTTTGAATGCTTAATATGTATCAGGTACTGTTCTAAGGGCAGATGATTATATATTATCTTTAAGTCTGATATAGCTACTCTTTATCAACCCCCTTCCCCTTTTGTAGTTGAGAAAATGAGGTATAAATCAGTTAAGGAGCTTGCTGAAGGTTGTATAGCTAGCTACTAAGTGGCAGATCTAGGTGGCATTTTGTCTCCAGAGTCCATGCTGTGGATATTTCCAAAAATTTTTGGTAATTGAGTTTGAAGGGTCAATGCTTAAATAAAATTTAAAATGAAATCAATCTAATGTCTTTAGTTTGCTTTATATCCTACCTTAACCAATATTTCCTTACATTTACTGAGTCGTTTTAAAATTAACAGGACCTATGGACCTTGTTTGTTGAAAAAGAAAATCCATTTATAAAATTCAAGCAAATTCTACGCATCTACATTTATAATGCAGCCATTTAACATTCTTCTAAAACAGGAAAGCCACAGAGCATGTTAGTCCACAAATACTTTGATATGGCAACCCAAAAATCCTCTGGATTGGGCACTAAAATGAACATTCTAGAATGTTTCTTCTGTTTTACTTCACCTTTGATTTGCTTCATTGTTTAGCCAGTACAGTGGAACTGACCTGTAATACATGTTTTCCATATTTAAAGATTGAAAGTCTGGTTTCACTTATCTTAAAGTAAATTGATAGTTATGTGTTTCTCCTTTTTTCCCCCTGAGGTAAAGCATATGGTACTTTCTTGTTTGCGTTAATGCATTTCTACAGGGTTATGCAATTTCTTCTTCCTACTTGTGGCTCAACTTCTTTTGAAATTGAGTGCAGGAAATGAATGAAAGAAGAGGAATGGAGAAACAGAAATTAATAAGTAATAAAAAAAAGTACTCAAAGCTGGATAATGGGCATTTATTTGATAATTTCTGATACTTAAAGACTGGAGGTTGTGGTATGTACAGATAAAGTAGAACATTAGGGTAAGAGGCATCATTTAGGTAGGCAGGTTTGTATGCTTGTAAAAGAAAATGGGAACTTTGTTTTAAATGAAAAGATGTTAAGTGATTGTTAGTACATGATTGTTAGTACAGGCTGGTTGCATTTTATTTAAGATTTTCACTCACGAAGGTTTTACATAATTCAGAACTCATAATTAAATCTTATCCTGACAAAGGGTGTGAGGTGTTTCTGTTCATCAGCCAGAGCTGTGTCACTGTGTTGCCATGTGGCAATAGCGGAGGCAGAGTTTAAAATTCACCAAGCTAGCCAGTTTGGCAATTGTAGAATTCTTAATGAGTTTTTAATTTGGGGGATTTGCTATTTGAATTTTTGCCTTTAAATGAAATTTTACTAATATATTGTGAATCATACAGTATATTATCATTTCAGATCAGTATAATTAAATATAGTCCTACTGTATTTATAGTCTCAATAAAAACTAAACAGATGTGGAAGGTGATAAAATGCTTGGTTATGCAGTCAGTTCTTAATTTTTGTTTTATGGCATATTTAAAGATCAGACTGTCTTTTTCTTTCCATATGTAACACTTATGAAGGGAATGAAAACTAATTTAAATGGTCTAAGTAAAAGCAAGTAAGATTATTCAAATAAAAAGTGTGTGAGTGTGTATAAAGTATTTTGGCATTATACAACATTCATAAATATTAAAAATTGGTGAAATATGTGAGAGGGTTCTTAATTAACTCTGTAATTAGGATTGTTAAAAGTGATTTGAAAAAAAAATAATAGTTTTGTTTCTCTGCTCAGTCACCAAGTAGATTTATTGTAGGTAAAATGTATCCTTTTTGTATAGTGAAATCACACGTGGGGATGAGAGTCTAAGGCTGGTATATAAGCCAAAAAGACAAAAATCACCTATAGTGAAAATTGTCCTTGAGTATCTCTTAGGAAGGTGTTAGTTAGAAGTTGATCTGTAGCAGAGCCATCTGTAGCCAGAGCCTTTGATGTTGGAGGAGATTGCTTTTCCTCTAGTTGAGTTTGGTTTATGTTGTTGTTATTATCATTATTTTTTTTGAGTTTGGTTTACTTTAAGGGGCCATGTTGCAGAAGTTTTGTTCTTTAAAAATTAGTTTTTCACACATAGTGCAAAAACCTACACCTGGGTCCACTTGAAGAAAGAGCAGGTTCAAATCTTTTGCTCACTCCAGAGCATATATTCATTGATTGAAAGCTGAGCAAAATCATCCACACTGTTTGAAGTTGTTTTTTGTTTTTGTTTTTAAATAATTCACGCTTTGTATTTAGTTTTGGTTCCATGGATAGTTAATATCGAGTAAACAAAACGTACATATGCAGCATGTAACTCCAGTGTATAAGATAAATTTTACATAGATGCTGTATCATCCAGTGAGCCATTCTTTCTCCTTTAGGCTGGATACATTCCAATTGTTTTCTGTGTATTATCTACTGGATTGTGATATCAATAGCATAAATTAATGCTTTTTTTCTTACTTCATTTCACCTGGTTTGTTCAACAGACATGTAAAAGCCTGTTTTGTTCTAGGCATTGTGTTAAAAGTTTGGAGGTATAGAAGTAACATGGTCTCTGTCTTCGTGGCTTACACTGTAATGGGGAAGACTGACAAGTGCACGGTGACAGTATGACATGACATGTATTGTGCTCCCTTTCAGATATCATTCATCATATTCCTTGAGTATTACAAAAATCACCCTACAAATACCACTAATTATTTAAATTTACTTATATGTGCATTTAAATTTCTAAAATTTGTCTCCTTTTTGGGTCAGATAATTCTTCTGGGGGCTCTCCTATAAATAGTATGGTATTTAGCAGGAGACAAAAGCATCCCCACCTCCAGTTGTGACAACCACAAATGCCTCCAGACATTGTCAGATGCCCCCCAGAGGACAAAATTGCCTGTGGTTGAGAACCACTGTCTTAGAGGAAGGGGAAGGCAAACTGGATGGTAGGGCCACTCCCAAGAGAGGACTTAGAAAGGGATACCAGAGGGCAGTTGCCCGGCAGGTCACAAAGAGGAAGCTCAGGGATTTCTGAGTAAGGGGGCTGAGCAAGGTGGCAGTGGGCCAGATGTGACTCTCCCTATTACCCTTCTGTTGTGCATATAGGCTAAGACAAGTCTGTTTAGTGTAATTTCTATAAAGCATTCACCTTAAAAATAAAATATGAATTTATGTAGTAAGAGTCAGAAAATATTCTGAGATATAAATGCGAGGGGCTTTATAAAAATATTTGGAAGTTAAGCTTTGTTTGTGTTGTGTCTGCTTGTAGAATTGTATTTTTGTCCCATTTGGTTCCATATGCTTTTCTCTTGTGTGTCATTTTGCCATTGTGCATTATTATGACATCATCATTTTCTTCCCTTTCTCCATCAAGTCATTCTGCCAGCAGGGCTCAGTCTCTGAGCTCTTGCTTTCGCTGCTTTCTTCTTGGAAAAATTCTGTCAGTCGTCGGCCTGCATATGTAAAATCTGATCCTGTTTCAGCTGTCACTGTATGTGTTCTTGTTGCATGCCCCTTGCCACAGTAATTCCATTTTTTTTGCCCCGAATATGTTGGAGAGTGTATGATCGAGTGGAATTAGAGTTTGAAAAAGGATGAATAACAAACACAAAATTTTGCCAACCATAGTGAATGCATTTTTACCAGCATTCTGTGCTCTTATCATTGTACTTGTATTTGGTTGCCCTATCATACTTGGTTAGTTGTTTGTATCTTAGCTTATAGCTAACCATTGACAGAGCATGTGATGGCAACAAGTTATGTACAGTGATTTTTATCATTCGGTTAAATGTGCACATTTAAGTTTTGTAACTTTTGAGATATATCATTTTTACTCAGAAAGTTATCTTTGCCCATTGTATCTTTATGGTTAATTAAATGTCTTTTGAATGACAAAAGGTACTTAAGAAGGGCAAGACTTTGTAGAATAGTTAAAATTTTTGTGATTGTTATTATGATTCCACTAATAAAAATTTCATATAATATCCTAAGCTTTGTTTTGATCCCACTAATACATTCAAAATAATATCCTAAATGTTGTTTTGTTATAACAAGTACATTATTTAAGTCCACGTTGCTAGCTGAAAAGATGAAGTAAATAGATGAAGTCGAACCATTTATTAAATGCGAAGCCACTGAGTAGTTATTGACGTTATGAATAGTGCATAAGATCTTACCCATCACTAGGTTGATGGGGGTAAGATCCATTTCCAGTGACAAACATAATTTGACTTGAAAATATTTTAAGAAATGAAATTTCCTGTAACAAATCTTTCATCTTAAGATTTCAATTCATTAGCCCTTAAAGATTTTAAAACCTCTAACCCTTTCAGTAAATAAGAATGCTATTTTCTATTCTTAGTTAACAGACTAAACAAAAATTTAACTTAATGATGGCAAGATGCAGAGTAAGTCTATATTTAACATGAATTTTCTGCTACTTGCTAATCTTTTCCTTATCTGGTTAACAAAATATAATAGCTAGCTAAGTGCTTTTTCTTTTCAAACCACCCATGTCAGCTGTCTTCCTATTCTTTTCACAATTCCTTATTAAATTGCTGAGGCTTTATTAGCATCTGGCTCTAGTTATAATTTCTAACAAAGGCTGAATAAAAGAATATGGGGCTTAGAGTTTTTTGTTTTTACAAGTTATTGTTGTTGACAACATAAATAGTCGATAAGGAAATAACTCTTGAAAGCAGAGAATCGGGTTTAGAGACTGTTTATTAGGTGGAAAAGCACTTGTTATCTGCCAGATATTATTTATACATATGTAAGAATATTGCCTTGCCTTTTTGAACACATCCTTTTACTTAGTCATATATAGTCTAGGATCAATTCCAAGAAATGAAATTGCTAAAGCCAAAGGATACATTTGTTTGTAAATTTGCAAATACAATATTACCAGTTTTTCCTCTCTAGGCATTATTCTAGTTTATACTCCACTTGCATATGAAGACCCCATACTCTATGAGAAACATAGTGTTTTTTATTATTATTTTCAATTAGCCAGCATATAGTACATCATTAAAAACATAGTTTTTCATCTAACGTCTGGAATTTTTTTTTTCTATACTGATGGGTGAAAAAGATTTTAGTGTGGCTTTATTTTATATTTTTCTTATTAAGTTGGAAGTTGAGCCATTTTATTTCTATGAACAATATATTCATGTCTTACAGACATTTCAGTTTTAAAGTAGGAATTGTTATTTTATAATGACAAAAATTTGAGGTAATCACCTATTTGGTTTATTGTTAATAATTGGTCTTAATTCTTTTTGATATACACGTGTACATGAACATCACAAAGGTTTTTCCTTTTTTCTAAAATGAAGTTTGGGAGTAATCAGTCCAAGCCAGAGTTCACAGTGGACCTAAAGGGGGCGACGGTGGAGATGGCTTCGAAGGATAAATCCAGCAAAAAGAATGTGTTTGAGGTAATACGTTTGTTTTCTAGGTATTACTCACATTCTTAACCATAGTATTGGATGTTCTTTTTTGAATTCTTCTGAGCTGTATTTCAGTGACTAAGACGAAGTTGCTCATTAAATAAGTCAGTTTGGTATAGCTTAAGGGAGAAGCAGCGGGCATGAAGAGCGGGGCTTCATTTGTGTAAGTCATGGGATCTCAGACTATAGATGACAAGCCTTTGTTCTACAATCTTGCTTTCCCTACCAACAAGAAAAGGTGTGATTGCGCATCACCTGGGTGGCTCAGTGGGTTAAGCGTCCGCCCTCTGCTTAGGTCATGGTCCCAAGGTCCTGGGATCAAGTCCCGCATCGGGCTCCCCGCTCTGCGGGGAGCCTGCTTCTCCCTCTGCCTGCCGCTCCCCCTGCTTGTGCTCTCTCTCTGACAAGTAGATAAATAAAAACTTAAAAAAAAAAGGGGGGGGATGGTTTCCTTTACCTATCAAATCTAATATGAAAAATAAATTGAAAACTTTCCATTTTGTCATTAAAAATCCCCCCTACCCCCGCACACCCAGTAGGGGCACCTGGGTGGCTCAGTCTGTTATGGGGCTGTCTTTGGCTCAGGTCGTGATCTTGGGGTCCTGGGTTTGAGCCCCGCATCAGGCTCCTTGCTCAGCAGGGAGTCTGCTTCTCCCTCTCCCTCTGCTGCTCCCCCTGCTTGTGCTCTCTCATTCTCTGTCTTTCTCTGTCTCAAATAAGAAAATAATAATAAATAAAATCCCCTCTCCCCCATAATATATGATTCTGTGTCAGTTATTTATTGCAGCATATCAGACCACCTCAATTTAGTAGCTTAGGAAAAGAACTGTTTGTTCGGATTGTGCTGAGCTGAGTGATTCTGATCTCAACATGGGACCATTCATGAGGCTTTAGTCAGTCAGTGGCTTGCCCCGATCTGGATGGTCTAGTTCACATGTCTGGTGTTGGTGCCAGCAGTTTGCTAGGCCTCCTTCTTTATAAGATCTCTCCCTCAAGGAGGCTGCCCCAGGCTTCTTCACATGGCAGTGTCAGGCTTCCAAGAGGGTGAGAGCGGAAGCTACGACACTTCCTGAGGCTTAGACTGAGAAGTCACACATCAGTGTGTTCCGTTGGGTGAAGCAGTCAGAAGGCTCGCTGGGGGCATTCAGGGTTGTGGGCGACGGGAGCTCACCTGTCGGTGGAAGTGCAGTAAAGGCACGTTGCAGAGGGGTGTGTATATGGGAGATGGGAGGAATTATTCAGACTCTCTTTGCAAACAGTCTTCCACATCCCAGCCTTCATTTTAGCCCCATATGTCAGTCCTTTCCTGTCTTATTCATGCACTTGCTGTTTTCCAAGTGAAACCTAGGTTTCCCTGCTGTGATTTTTACTCTTTATTAGTACTGACCCATGGCAGTCTCTGTCAGGTGTTTTCCAAGACCCATCAGAAATGCTACCACAATACTGATGCTTCTTTTTTATTTATGCTTTTGAAATATTTAATTTAGTGTGATTTAGGTTTACCATCATCTGTAAATTACTTGTCCCACTAGATGATGATGATTTTTTTTTTTAAGCAGAGAGACTATATTTTTCCTTATCTTTAAGAAAGAACCTTTAACAGAAAATATCTTATGTGCAGCGAATATTCAGTATTGGTTGACTGGCTTGACCCACTCTCTTAAAAGAAGTACAAGAAAGGAAGTCAGTGTTTCCTGAATTAGCCTTGCAGTTTCAGTAAGTGATTTCAGAGTGAAAACTAATCCATGGTCAAATAAATGTAGGCAGTGGTGTAGATGTTTTTCTTTCTTTAGAAAATCAGAGCACCCTGGGATAGCAAAGCCCTGAGACGTTTTGAAGGAGAGAATCTTGTTTAACTTTCTTTAATGCAGTATTTCCCAAATTAATACCATATAACTGTTTTTTCCTTTTTTTTTTTTTTTGAGGAATACCTTTTCTAAACATTACTTCGGGAACTATGTTTAAGGCATATGTCTCAGAATGTTGTTTGGGAAACATTGCCATATGTTCCTCAAGGAAAAAAAAATAAACAGTTACCAACCAGAAAATAGGAGGAATGCTTTCTCCTAATACCTCCAAATTTTTCATCAGTCCAGTGTAAGAAACTTTGAACCAAAGAGATCCTTACTTGTTAGTTCATGATTTGACATAATTTAGTAATTTCTGCCCAAAAGTGATGTAACATTTATTGTCTGTGCCTTCTCTTTGCATTAAGCCATTATATTTATTTACCTATTAAATAGGAAATAATAAAAGTTTTAACTCTTTCATATACTTTTTCTACATTTATTTTTTAACTGGAGAGAGAAAAACATTCCTCACATTTACATAAAACTATCACAGATTTTATTTCTTTACAAATGAATTTTGTTTCAATTCTAATTCAAAATGCACAGCTTTGATACTTGAACTTATTTTTTAATGATATGGTATACTAAATTTCAGCAAGTTCTGTGGCATTTGTATGTTGGAATTTGGGACCCTTAAGTTATTAGATTTTCATTGAGAATTTTTTATGAGGAAACCTTCATGTTTTTTACAGTAATTCCTCTAGGATTATATTATATTAAAAGATATTCCATTGCTGTGCATTACTTTAACCTTTCATCGCTCAGTATAATATTATGGCATCTAGTCTTCTGGCTGATGGTTTTATGGACTTTGGCTTGAATATATTCATTTATTTGGGGGCTCCTGGCTGGCTCAGTCAGTGGAGCGTGCAACTCTTGATCTCGAGATTGTGAGTTCAAACCCCACATTGGGTGTAGAGATTACTTAAAAATAATAAAATCTTAAAAATATATATTTTTTATTTATTTGGTTGAAAGTACTAACCATCCTCTTTTTTTTTTTTTTTTTTTTCTCCTTTTCTCTAAAGCTGAAAACCCGTCAAGGAACAGAACTGCTAATTCAGTCTGATAATGACACTGTTATTAATGATTGGTTTAAAGTTCTTAGTAGTACTATCAATAATCAGGTATGTGTTGGACTTAGGTAAATTTTTTTTACTTCAGAGCTGTTTTTCTTTTCTGCATTTTAATTGGTTATTGCATATCTAGTTTCAGTTTATATGTAATAAACACTTTTTTTAATATGTATTTGGACAAGAGGTAGGAAAGGCAATGGTAGTTTAGCAATTCCTTGGGGCTGGTGAATGATTTAATATTCTCAGTTATATAATACTTGCTAGTAGTGGATTTTAAATAATTTTCACATGAGGCATTGGTCCAAAAAGAAGTAATTCGAGAAGAGGGACAAACCATTCCTAGTACAGAGTATTTAGTCAATGACCAATGAGTTGGGAACAGTACTATTTGGTGGAGACAGGTCTTAGGTAAAGGTATGAAATGAATGAAGCACTAGTCTCTCTTCATGAGCGCTTTTTCTTTCCTCCTGACAGCTCTCTAGCTACCCCTGGAGGTGTTCTAGTTCTCCCTTGTCCCCCAACCAGGGAGGTGTTCAGTACCCTCCTGTTCCTGGTAAATTTCCTCGTACATGTGTATGTGTTTTATATATATATAGTAGACATATAGTACGTTATGGAATATGTGTAGTACGTGTATAACAACCAAAAAGAACCTCAGATTGATATTCTGCTGTTAGTAAGAGCAGGAAGAAACAGAGAGGGGATGTGCTTCTCAGACTATATTCTTACGCCCTCACTATATGGGGACAAGGCTCCTGGCTGAGGATCATATGTCAGTGACAAAAAGGAAAGTGATACTAATGGGAGTGTGTTATGGTTTTAAACTAAACAGAGAGTGAAAAAAAGTTGGGAATCACAGGCTTTAGTAGAGATTGAGAGGTCTTTCAGAGACTATAGGTGAAGCCTCATTATAATAAGGTTTGTGGTCTTAGGTATTCTACCTCTATGGGTTTAGTGTTTTCACTTATAAAATAGAGAGGTTGGATTTGATTTGTCTCCAAGTGTCCCTTTAAACTCCAAAATTTTTATGATGCACTCACTTCAAAACAGCCAGGTGTGGGATCTTGAGTATTAACTCTTCCTCCTCTTTTACCCCTTTAGCCAGTTATTCACCCATCTCTATAAATATTCTTCCTTTGCAGTTTGTAATATTGTATATTTCTGAATCTTGTCTCTTCCTTTCCATTTATTCCTGAAACCATCATCAGGACTTTATAAGAGTCAATTCCTAAACAGTTTTTCTTACTTCATTTCACCCCCCACCAATCTGTTCTTAATAGCATTGCTATATGAAACTTCCTAATGTTAACTTTATAATTCCCTCCTGCTCAGTAAAGCTTCTGTGACTCTCATTAAAATTCAACAACCTGAACCCAATCTGTCTTTTCAAATGTACCTTCTACTCTACCCAATATGGGCTTTCAGCTCTAGTCCTGTAATCGGTTCCCAATCCCTTGAAAGCAAGTATGGCTGCATTCATTTAACAAATGTGGGAGTGCTTTGCCCTGGAGATAGAGCAGCATGCAATTCCTTTGCTACACCTGTCCCTGTGGAGTTTACAGCCAAAGACAGAAGATTACTGAAGACAGACAACTGAGCAGTTAATACAGTGAAATGTGATGAGGCTTATGATGGTGAGGGATATACAACTTATTATAAAAACACTGATTAGGTAGGAGTTAACCTAGTGTTAGGGATCCAGGAAGGCCTTGCAGAGAAAGTGGTTTTTTTTTCTTTCTTTCTTTTTTAATTGAAGCCTATAGAATCAGGGAATAAGCCAAGTGAAAAGAGAGTAACATATTGTTGACTATGAAATTTAAAATATATACTGTTTAAAGTGGCAAAAGATACTGTAGAAATACACAATAAATGTAGAAAGATGCACGAAACAGGGAAAATTGCAAAACCTTATTGAGAAACATTGAAGAAAATCTAATTATATGAGAAAGTATATCATGGATTAAAAGATTCAATAATGTAAAGATAAAATATTCTTCCAAATGATTTATAAATTTATAGACTTGAAATTTTTGAATCTCATTCAAAATCCTAGTAGGTTTTATGCTGGAACTTGGCAACCTTCTAAAATTCGTACCAGAATATAAAGGGTAAAAATATCCAAGACACTCTTGAAGAAGAAAGTGGAAGGACTTGCTCTATCAGATGTTAAGACTTCTAGAACTGTATTAATTAATACAACATGCTGACCATACCAGGATAGATCTACAGACCTGTGGAACAGAATAAAGAATCTAGAAACCAACATTCCTTTGGATACTTTATGCCAGATATAGCACTATAGAAAAGTAAGGAAGAATAAACTTTAAATGGTACTGGGTCAGCTGGATATCCAGGAAGAAATTAGAACCTTTCCTAACACTAATCACAAAAATAACTTCTAAGTGGATAAAGACATCAGTGTGAAAGGCAAAGCAATACTAGCTTTGAGAACTCCTTCAGTTTTTTAACCTGCAAAAGTGACTTTGATTAGGCTATACACGAGTTCTAGGATTTCTTTCAGTGCCTAACATTCATGAATCTGTGAGTATGATTACTAGCTACTGATACAAAGTATAATTTGAAAAGATCGTTGGTGTGAAAAATTAATGTGCCATTGGCTAGTTAGCTTTATCTTGTGCTGTTAGCACAGAATGTAGCTTCATCATGGTCTCTCAGTGTAGCTTGTGGGTCAGGACCTTTTAACTCTTGTTACTGTCATTCTTATGCATTTGATCTACATGAGGGAACATAGCCTCATTATCAGTACATAAACCCATCATCCTGTGAATAATCAGCATTTTTTTCTTTTTTGAAATTCAGAATGAATTCCCCCTATCTAGGGGAAAAAATATTTTTAAAGATTTACCAAGTATCTAAATCATATATACTATATACTAATTGGTTCCCTAAAATCATTTGGGAGGATCAGTTACTGATTATACTGAGAATTATGCTGTTACATCTAAAATAATCTCAAAAGTAATATGTATTTGGGAAATCTTTAATCAATAGACAGTAGAAACTGATGAAGCTATTGAAGAAGAGATACCAGATTCCCCAGGAATAGAAAAGCATGATAAAGAGAAGGACCATAAGGATCTTAAGAAACTTCGTTGTAAGTTATTCTTTACCTATTTTGTTAGTCGTTTGAGCATCTTCTCTTAGATTTTTTGAATATTTTAAATATACAAAGGCTGAGTGGAATCTCCACTGTTACCAGGAAATTATAAGGATAGATATTTGCAATCTTGGTGTTTTAGGAGTACTCCCTCCTTGTTAACTCCTTGTTACTTTTCAGCCTCATCGTGTGCACCCGTACAGCATCTTATTAATTTTAAGATGCTGTGGTTCTTTAAGAGAAAAAAGTATATTAGAATGCACTTCTATTGAGGTATCCAGGAAGCTGAACTATATTGATTTAAAAATACATAATTACTGTTTAAGGTCTAGATAGAATCTTTACACTTTAAGAAGTCAAAAGTCATGAGACGTGTACCATAGTTCACACTGGACACCAGGCAACCATCTCTGGACTAGGACATGTCTGTGCGGGTACAGCTGCGTGCATTCGCGTCTCCAGATCATTCATATATATGTATGTGTGTGTGTGCAGATATATGTATATATGTGCTAAAGCCAGCAAATTTAAAAGCATTTTCTGATGCAGGCCCCTTGTGAATTACATTGTTTAAATAGGCCATTAGCTGTGGCTCTGAACTTGTTAAATGTATTTTAACAATCCACATTTAACTAAGAATTTTTGGCCTTTGGATTAACTGAATGATTAGAAGATCATTTCTACTTTTGTTCTCCCACGTTCTAATGAAGGTTAGGCCTATTAACTGACATTGTCACTGACATATAACAGTGTAAACACATGAAAATTTGATTATTTTAATGCTTTACTAATAAATTCTTTTGCTTTCAAGTTTCCTCAAATATAGTTCTTTTCAAGAAATTTACTTTTTGGATACTTTTTATTGGAACCAAAAAAGGAATCAGAGTTATGGCAATGTAGGACATTTTTCAAGTGGTCCCATTCTTAGTTTAGAGGTAATTATGATGAGGTGTGGTTAGCTTAAAGTACAAATAATTGTGATGGATATATATTCTCTAGACTCCTAGTCCAGTAAGGATACTGCAGGATAAGGACTTTTTTTATGTTTTATGGACATTTTTTTCTTGTCATTTTACTTTCTAAAACTGATGGAGAGTCAAAGGAGATATAAGTAGTATCATTTATGAAATAATGAGTGTAAGTTAGAATAACCAGTGTCTTAACACATATACCAAAGAAGGTGCAGTTTGTGGTCAGTGTTTAGTGATAAAAATGAAATGTTTTGTTTGGTTTATCACTTTGAAATTGGGTCTGTGTTAGCTTGATTCTTGACCTACTACTCTTAAACTATATTAAAGTTAGAATAACTGAATTTATAACTGACTTTTACATATGAAATTAATATGTTTTGAGTGCTGGTGGAAAAATTTTTATCAAAAACTTTTTATTTTATGAAATGCTTAATATCCATTTGTCTTAAGCCACGAAAGTGTCTAGCATAGATTCTTCAGAACAGAAAAAAACCAAGAAAAACTTAAAGAAGTTTCTTACACGGCGCCCCACTTTGCAAGCTGTTCGTGAAAAAGGTTATATTAAAGGTAGGTAGAAGTGATGTTTATAATAATGAACTTTGGCCAAAATCAGAAATAAGACATTTTAAATTAAAAACTGAACATTTTTTGAACAGTAAAAATGTTTTCATTCTTTAAAGTTAGCAGGTTGATTTGTTTAAAATACATTTGAGTGATTAAAATTGATTTTTCGGGGCACCTGGGTGGCTCAGTCGTTAAGCATCTGCCTTCGGCTCAGGTCATGATCCCAGGGTCCTGGGATCGAGCCCCTCATCGGGCTCCCTGCTCTGCGGGAAGCCTGCTTCTCCATCTCCCACTCCCCCTGCTTGTGTTCCCTCTCTCGCTGTGTGTCTCTCTGTCAAATAAAAAATAAAAAAAAAGTTAAAAAAGAATCTTTAAATAAAATTGATTTTTCAGTGCACACAGAGTTTAAGGCACTGAACAGACATAAATACCAAAGTAAGTTTTTAGAGACCCTGTACCAGAGGAACTACAGGGGTGAGATGGATGGATAGAAGACATGACAATAAAGATTTTTAGTTTTGAGGGGTATCTGGGTGGCTCAGTCGGTTAAGCGTTTGCCTTTGGCTCAGGTCATGATCCCAGGGTCCTGAGATCGAGCCCCATGTTGGGCTCTCTGCTCAGCGGGGAGTCTGTTTCTTTCCCTCTGTCCTTCTCTCGCTCAGAGAGAGCGCTCGCTCTCTCTCTCTCTCTCTGTCTCTCTCAAATAAGTAGAATCTTTTAAAAAAAGATTTTTAGTTTTGAGATGCATAGATCAGAACTTTTGAATGAAACATCACTGACACAGTAGGAAGAAGAAAATATTGAACAATTTTATCTTGATTGTTTGCCTTCAGTTCTCATTTCAGGTGATTTTAAAATTAGTATAAGATGTTTTTTCCTAAATAATTTTTATATTTATTTCATTTATAAGCAACAATAATAATAATGCACTAACAGGATCCTAATAACAGAGTGTTCTTTAAAATCACATATACTTGTATATACCTTTAGTTCTTACAAGCACTTTTAATTTCAATGATAAAATTTTCTAATACAGGACTCAGTGACATTAAGTAGTAAATAAAGACATAGGTAAAGGTAATGTATAACATATATATCTGTCTCTGAAGTTTCTAAAAAAGACCATCACTAGAACATCTGTTTGCAAAGCATCTAAATTAAAATACACAAATGGGTTTCATTAAAAAGATATTTAAAACTTCTGGGTAGAGTTCAGCTAATTAAGTGATTCAAATTAATAACCTTAAGAGTTATAGGTAAACAGGGACTCCCAGGTAACGCATATGAATTTAGTATATTAAGTTTAGAACTTTAAAAAAAGAAAAAAGCCTGACAAATCAGTAAATAGCAATTGCTATTAATTTTTCACCAGGCCTTTTTATTGAGAAATATAAACTGTTGCTGCTTTATGGTGTTGTTCAGGACTTCAAATATTTTGTTTTCCTCGGTAGTTAGCACTAATGTGGCATTTCAGAAGTGTTGGGTTGAAAGACTAATAGAACAGCCTTTGAAATATACTTTGTGGAATATTTAATATTTAAACTATTAAAACAAGCATGGTGCATACCCATTGGGTTGGCCCCCGATGGGTATGCACCATGCTTGTTTTAATAGTTTAAAAAATATTCAGGTGTTTACTAGGTGCTAGGCATGAGCCTGGGTGCCATGAATACCTATTGGTTTGAGAACTACAAGGTCCCTGCCCTCATGAAACTGACATAAAAACAAGAGACAGACAAGATAATTATGACTACCATGAAGAATCTACCAGAGTAATGAAATAGAGAGTGACTGTACGTGGGTTACCTTAGGCTGATCATAAGGTTTTTCTAAGGAGATGACATTAGAGCTGAAGGCGGGAGTGATAAAAAGCTAAGTTTGGGGGAGAGGATGGATCTGTACAAAAGGTATAGAAAATTAAAAGCTTCTCAGGTAAAAATGGGGTGTTCATGGAGTTTAGTAAAGCAGGAAAATTGTTTGAAGTGGAATTGGAATGGGTAGGCAGATCACAGAAGGCATGAGTCACAGCAGACCATGTCAGGATGTACTGAATGTCTTCTAATAGCACTGTGAATAGCGATCGCCACTTTGCAAACTACATTTTAGCAGGGTGATTTATTTTAAAAAATAAATCTCTTTCAGATCAAGTATTTGGAGCCAATCTTGCTAATCTTTGTCAGAGAGAAAATGGTACAGTGCCAAAATTTGTGAAGTTATGCATTGAACATGTTGAAGCATATGGTAAGAAAATGAATTTTTTTTTATGTTAAGCACACTAACCCATTGTTTTGCCATCAAAATCCTTAGGATTTTTATGATTTTGAGTGATGGAACAGTCATAAGATGTTAAGAAGAGCATCTTGTTTGCAAAACTTTACATGTTTTAATGGTTACATATATCTGTTTTAAATTAAGACCTTTCTAGGCACCTGTTGCATATTCAGCACTTCTAGCTGATTAAGTGTATGGTATTCTTTGAAGCCATTTGGAGTTGGCCTTTACTTAAAATGAAGAAGGTGGTGATTATGAAACTGAGTTTATTAAGAAGTGATTTGACAGTGTAGAAGATAGGAGATTGTGTTTACTTAGCAAAAGAAAGTTGCTTCTCTTTATAATAAAAATGAGATGACATTTTAAAACTGTTAAATCAACTAAAATGTCTAAGTAGACAAACCTCCTTATGTCATTTCCTGTTAAATAAGACTTAAACGAATTTATATTTTGGTTGATTTTAACATAATATTTATACTAGTTTTATATAAAATAATTACCATGATGGCAATCACATTAACTTGTACCTGTACAGCATCAAAAACATCTTGTACAGTTAAAACATTTGCATAATTTGTGATTTCTGTCAGTATCAGATCTTGTCGTTGACTTTTTTGTCAACATGACAATAGAGACACTGTGCCTTTATTTGAAGTTCTATGAATAGCGTGTCAGATAATGTGCTTTGTTAAATGTGTACAGCATTATCATTTAATGAATATTTGGATTTTTTAGGCTTAATTGGGTGAATTTCATAGTTCTATTCCACATATAAAAAGAAATGAATAAAACTATCAAATTCTCAATTGTTTTTATAGAACCTTTATTTTAATTGATTTTAACTTTATTACAAGCACTTAATAGGACAGCCATCTTTAAAAGAGTGCTTTAATATGTACATTTACATTATGAAATGTGCAAAAAAAAATGGATGGGCTGGTTTTATCTTTTGGTTTCCTTTACTTTCTGAACTATCCCCAGGAGTAGAAGTTTATCTTAAATTGTTTGTATTTCAAGTTTAATGAGATGATTTTTTTCGAGATGATCCACAGTCTACATGATAAACTAGAATTGTTGCTGTTTATTAAACAGAATTCAGAGTGTATCTCTACCCTCCCTCCCCCCTCCGCCAAGCATCTATAAAAAGCCAGTTAGAGGAAAAGAGTATTTGCCCATTTGATTTTAGGCTCATGTTAATGAATAAGGATTCTGAAACATGCAAGCATCTTTAGAAGAGGCGAACATCTACTTAAAACACAAAAATATTTTAATTTTCTCTTAGGTTTGGATGTTGATGGGATATACAGAGTAAGTGGCAACCTTGCAGTGATCCAGAAACTGAGATTTGCAGTCAATCATGGTAAGATCATACTCCCTGTTATTATGTGCAAAAAAAGCATTCATAACTTTTAGAATCAGTTTAAAGTTATTTAAAAAAATTTCCTGTTCTGTTTTTCAGATGAGAAATTGGACTTGAATGATAGTAAATGGGAAGATATTCATGTTATTACTGGAGCACTCAAAATGTTTTTTCGAGAATTACCAGAACCTCTTTTTACATTTAACCATTTTAATGATTTTGTTAATGCAATTAGTAAGTATGTCATTACACTTGGTTTTTTTTCTTCATGTTGAAAGTCCTCTGTACCGATTAAGCCACTACATTGTTTGATCTTTCTTTTTAACTATTTCAAAGGGTTGTTTTACTTTAAAAGTTTTAAATGTGACCACCAGATGTCACTGTGTATTACCAAATGTCAGGTTCGAAACTATGTCACTTTTCAATTTCATGCATAATCTCTCATTATTATCTTTTTTTTTTTTTTAGAACAGGAACCAAGACAGCGAGTCGCTGCTGTTAAGGACCTAATCAGACAGTTGCCAAAGCCAAATCAAGATACAATGCAGATTCTTTTTAGACATCTCAAAAGGTAAGAGGTTCACCACAGAAAAGAAATAGTAATTAGGGAGAAAAAAAGAGAAAGGTAAGAGAAATGTACGGTTATGAGGTGTGGTATAGCACCCGCGAGGGCAGGGTCCCTCAGACATCGGTTCACATCCCAGCTGTGCTACTTGCTTGTCTTTGTAACTTGAAAAAGAGAACTCCTTTGGGCCTTTTTCCTCACAGGTATATGTTCTGGTATGAAAAATATTTACTTAATGTTATATGTGAAGCAATCATATAATGCCTAGCATGTAAGTGTTCAGAAATTGTTGTTCAAGTTAACCTGAAGGTGAGATTTTGAGATGAGGACTATTAAATTGCTTGAGAAGAAAGCCATCTTGGCTTTCAGGTTACTACATAGCCATTTTAATAACTGATTTTTGCCTTCTGACAGAACACTAGAATAGTAAAGTAAATTATCCCAATGAAGGAGATTTAAAAAACAAACATAGAATTAGTAAAATGAAAATTTAATCTCTCTATCCTAATGAAATTTTTTTCCCCATCACCCTAGTGGAGTAATTATTGTTACCTGAATTATAGTTCATACCTAATTGTGTGTCTTGCTTTAGACACTAAACTGAAATATCACACACTGAAAGTTTGTTAGAGTATGTATAATTCTACCTTTCAGCTGTGTTTACCCAAAAGAAACCTTCATGTGATGTTTGGACTGAATTCTACTTGGTTTTAAGTAGCTTGTATGTATTTTAGGAAAAAGCACTATTTCTCATTTCTAAATGCAAACTGTTTATGTTTATAATACAATTTGAAAAATTCTTCCTCTTGTATGTTTTCTCTTTTAACAATTTATTTTTCCCCCCTTAGAGTTATAGAAAATGGAGAAAAAAACCGAATGACCTATCAGAGTATAGCAATTGTGTTTGGTCCCACTCTGTTGAAGCCAGAGAAGGAGACTGGTAATATAGCAGTTCATACTGTCTACCAAAATCAGATTGTAGAATTAATTCTACTGGAAATAAATTCCATCTTCGGGCGTTGATTCTTATTGAAGACAACCTGTGGATTATTGAAGCCGGATCCCATCAGATTTCAAATCCTTATACATGGTGTATTTTATTTTTGGACCAAGCAGTGACTCTTTGATTTTGCACTTTTTTGAGGGATCAGAAGGGAATGGGGGAGTCAAGATGTGTGTTAGGCCCTCATATTTGCTGCTTTGTTGCAAGTTGATATAACTGTGTGTAATTTTGAATTAATTTTATCCTGAATGTTTTGCATTTCACACTCTGAATTTCAGTAAAAATCAAAACTTAACAACCAGTCGTATACACTGGATAATTTGGTAAGAAAACTACATTTTTTTTCTCAAACTGGATAATGTAGAATTTCTTCTCAAGATTCATTAGATTCATCACTTGATAGAACAGTACTCACTATCAGTTATTTTGAAGACGCTGTTGGGCATTCTAAACAAAATGAAGTATATCCTTTTTGAAACCTGTGTATTTATTTTTCAGGGTTTCTGCATGCAGTGGCAGTCTTAAGTTCTACAGTTCATTCTAACCCAGATGTAATCCCTTGGCGAAGGCTTTCCACCTTCCCTGTGTTGCACACCATCCTTATTGGATGGATGTCTTAGTCGCTTGTTGGGCAGCACACTAATATTACTTAACACACTGTGATATACTGGAGTTTAATTTAGCATAAGTCAGTTCAGGGTATTTTGGGGCTGTCTGTGCTACGCTGATTTGTAGCTAACAATCCTAATTATATCTAGTGCCATACTGAGTTCTTGGTATGACCCTGTGGAAACAGACATTATCTGATGTAAATATAAGCTAAAGACTTAATGTCCTTTAGCTTATGTATATAATTTTGTTGTATAGTCTCAGAGTACATTCTAACCTGACATTTCTAATCGTGATATTGGTAATCTTTTCCGTGAATATTAGGTTTCCTCCAGAAATAGGCTGTTATTTGAGAAACTTAACTGTGTGCACTTTTAGATTTTTAATTACATTTACAGGCAAATCACTGTAATGCAAATGGTACTGGAAAAATACTGAATAGACTTGCTAAATGGTAAATGCACTACAAGAGGAATCTTTTAGATAATTTAATATGTACAGAATACATTAGAAAAAAATTTATTACAGAATTCTAACTGGTGCAGTATGAATAGTGGAAACCCATATGTAAATTAGATGGATGTCAAATGGAAAATGACATTGCTAAATTTGAGAATTTCTTTTTACATTACTAATGTAGATTGATTTGTATAATAAAACAGGGTTTGGAAGGTTTTGTTACAGAGAGCATGGTCTGTTGAAGATATTTTAAGATGTATTTTTCTAGATTAACTGATGTATATGAAATGTCTAATCCGAATAAAGAAAACTATAAGAGGTTTAGAGATTTTCCGTTGGAAATGTGCATTTTGGTTTTTAATTTTTTTCTTGTTTTTGCATTTACTGGCATACTCTTATACCTCATTTTTAAAAAATCAACTGAATCCAATATTTCCTGTGGTAAATATATTTTCCTCATTTTTTCCACACCTTTTCTACTCCCTGCCATGCCAATACCTCCTCCACTCTCCCCTCTCCAATTTTCATTTCTTCATCAATATTTGAAAGTGAATGATTTGTGACCAAGACTTCTTTTCTTCGAATTGCATTTGTAATTTACAGATGGTCTTCCTTGGGAACAAATAGTTTTTGTACAATCCAAAAATCTCTCAGCTGAGTTTTGTGGTAAAAATATTGTTTGTTGTTGTGGTCTTGTTAAATTGGTAACAAACTAAGCTACTTGATAGCTATGGAAAGCAGATTGTTTTGGGCAGGGATAAAAAGCCCCAAAATGAGAACATTTGTATTTGTCTAACAATGTCCTGATCAATATAGTATGCTTTAGAACTGGCCTATATAGTGATTGTATGCCAGCAAAACCATTAGACTCAAACCAGTGATGCTCTTTCTCTTGGTAGCTGTGGACATAACAAAGATTAAAATTGTCCTGTGTTTCTTGTTTCAAAGTACATGTGTGTGTATGTGGAGTCTTAAATGTTTTATTAGTCTACAGCTAATTAGTTTATTGTATGTACAGTGAGATCAATGTCTTGTGTTTTCATCTTTTGTGAATTAAAAATTCTCACTTTTTTTTTTTTTGTAATAACAAAACCAGTAATATTTTCCTGTCTTGACAACTTGGTTTTTAGTAGAAAATATATTAAAGGCTGAAATAAATTGTTAGTGGATTTCATTTGCTAATAGGCCTTCCTTCAGAATGTCATTTTAGAAAAGTAGTTGGAAATTGAAATAGTATATTCACATGTATTACTACATTTAATTAGAAGAAAAATACTTATTTAAATTTTACAACTGTAAGGAATTTTACCTTTTACTCTGGAAAAATGTTACCTTTTAGTTAGAGGCAAATCTGCAGAATTTTTTTTCTTATGGGAAAAGCACAAATGGAATAATTCAGCCAAACTGGGCTTAAGCAGATGTGTTATGTACACATACACATGGATGTGTATGTAAATTGTGTGCGTGTGTGTGTGTGTGTGTGTCACTGCTTACCTACAGATGAAAACTCAGTAATAGTAGTAATGGCAGATACCTGGAGACCTTTGTGCTATTTTAGTTTCATGCCAGGCTTCTTTGTAAGCCTGTAATACTAGATGTTAAGATAGCAGGGAGAGGAAACAGAGTTATTCCGTAATTTTGCTAAGAGATTCTTTTCCAGCTCGTGGGAGAGACCCTCTAATTAAATATTTAAAGTAAACACATAGTTTCCCATGACACTAATTTCTCCAACATCTTTAGGCATTTAAAAAACACAGAGTCTACAACATGTCATTTTAGTAAAGAAGAAAATAAAAATAGCCAAATGGGCGTCATGCTCTTGCTGGCCTAATAAAAGTCAAATGCGCAAAGATCGCATCTGTATAGAGAATTGAAAATGGGTAGAAAATAAGATTTTATGGAGTTTGCTAGTCTCTCTGAACTCTAGCCATCAGCTCTAATGATCCTCTTTTATAGGAAGCACATTTCTAATACAAGACTAGAGACGGTGTTTAATAGGAACTGTAGCCTGAATATAACTGTATGTTACATTCCTGGATGTGGGGCGCAGTTTTGTTTTTGTTTGTTTTTTAAACAGTATTTCAATATAACTAATACAGTTCTGTTACATGAAACTTTAGTTTTAAACCAAAAAACCCCCACAAAAAACAAAAAGCAAAGGGGGCTGCAAAACAAAATCAACAGCCTTACAATAATGTGTATTAGAATCTATTGGAAATTCACAAGCTGCAGACCCAGGCCAAGCAGAGTCAGACTTAGTATTCTAGAGAAGGGGGAGGTACAGAATGCCTAATGAGACATTCTGTAACTACTAAAGACAAGGGACTTCTCCTGAAGAATCTCAATTAGTCTTCTCAACTGAAGTTTTGTGGGCCAGTGGTGGCTGTAAATATATTCAGCTGGATTGAGCTTTTTCAAATTAGCCTTATGTGAATATGGCACTTAAATGAACTCTTTCATTTCCTTCATTGCTTCCCTTCTCCCACAGGAAAAAAAGGAAAGAAAAAAAAACACTTTCATGGTACTCTCATAAACAGAGCACTTGTAGAACAAGGTAACTGTTTAACAAACCACTACAAAATGTATTTAGAATCTAAAGTCTGATTTCTTACTTTTTCTCATCAACCCGTCTCCCCTTTATTTTACTTCTCTGTGTTTCCAGAAAAACTGTTTCTGGTAAAGATTTTAAAATTATTAATGTCAATAGCTAAATCAGGTAGTTCTTAGAGTTGTGGCTCATGCTGCAAGTTGAAACTTGTAATGTCATGAATCTTGTAATGATAAAATTCATGGTGACATCAGAGCAACAAATGAGACTGGAAGCTCTTATCAACAGGGCCTTTGCAAGGTAGACCTCAAACTCCGTAAGCTCATGGTGGAGTGCCTGGTGAAGATTCAGCATAACATTCAAGGGCTCCTTTCTCCTCCTGGGCATTTTGAGAGATGGTTTATATTTAGGCAAGAGAAATGGGACTCTTAGACACTCAAGTAAAACTGAGTCTCATTGATTGGTAAAGCAGGACAGAACCAATAGGGCCCCTCACATTCATAGTCTTACTTTATGGAAGCCCAGAATGATAAGCCTAAAACTGAAGGGAAGAAATATCTTGACATTCTCTTTAAAGTTTGTGATCAATTTAAGTAAAGCATATTCTGGCATGTTCAAATAATATCCTTTGAGGAAGAAACTAGTAACTTCTCTACATATTGGGAGCATCTGTTTTCAAGCTAAGTTTATTTTTATTTGTATGGCATGTTGAAATTTCTTTTATGTATCATGTACATCTATTAGGAATATAGAGGTGACGGGGGGTTGTGGGTAGGTAGTGCTTTCTGCTGGTCTCTCCTGGTTCTAGTCGTATGAATAGTAAACCAGTATCCCTTTCCCTCCCCTGGCAAATCATCAGACTTCAGTGGTTCTTCTACCTGCTGACAGTCTGGACTGGCCATTGTGTTCATTAATCTGTTTAATATGGATATCTGCTTTCACTTGAGTTCTGGAACTGTGCTGTCCAGTATTGTAGCCACGTGTGGCAACTTAAATTTCATTAAAATTAAGTAAAACATGAAAATCCAGTCAGAGCAGCCACTCTTCAAATGTTAAGTAGTGATGGGGTTGATGGCCACTGTACTGGGCAGTGCTGTTACGGAAGGTTGGTTGTGAGGAATAAGCAATTACAAAAGACAAAATTCTTTCAAAAAATATATGCTCTAAAGCATAATTCTCCCTCATGCTTGTCTCAAGTACATGACACTAGAGTTTAAAATGAAGGAGAGAGAACATTTTTATAAAGGTCTGCCAAACTTTGAATATTTACCCCATTATATGCTCTCATTAGGGGGGCTGGACGGGTGGTAAATGTGATTTGACTTCTATTACAGCTCCATTAAAATGCTTACAATTTGGTGAAAATCCGTTTGAAACTACAGCCTAAGAAAAGCCTCAGGTGACATTGTTCTCTGGGAAATGTAGGAATGCTGTACTGAGATATTTGAGACTATGTCACAGTATTCTTACATTTAGATTTTAGGAAAGATTTTCTGAAATCATATTTTAGAAACTGAATAATTAAAGAAATGGTTCTAATTAGAGCATTCCCTTGAGATCCAAGTTCCCTCACCTTGTATTTACTTTTTATTTTTTTATTTTTGAAGATTTTATTTATCTGACAGAGACACAGCGGGAGAGGGAACACAAGCAGGGGGAGTGGGAGAGGGAGAAGCAGGCTTCCCGCTGAGCAGGGAGTTCGAAGTGGGGCTCGATCCCAGGACCCTGGGATCATGACCTGAGCCGAAGGCAGATGCCCAGTGACTGAGCCACCCAGGAGCCCCTGATTTTTTTTTTAATTTTTATTTATTTATTTGTCGGAGAGAGAGAGGGCACAAGTAGGGGGGAGCAAGCAGCAGGCAGAGAGAGAAGCAGGCTCCCCGCTGAGCAAGGAGCTGGATGTGGGACTCGATCCCAGAATCCTGGGATCATGACCTGAGCCAAAGGCAGACGCTTAACCAACTGAGCCACTCAGGTGACCCTACTTTTGATTTTTAACAGTGCCCTTTATGAGGTAGTGGAGATCTTGAAGAGCCTATGTACAAAATTTCTCTTTAAATGAGAGTGACATCTAGCTATGGGTACAGGGAAATTTTTGATAGTCAAAGTTAGTCGATCTGCACGTGATTTCACCAGATGCTTACTCAAGTGTGGACAGTGACATGATACATAGAGTCCATAGACTAGATGGTAATTAGCATTTTTCATTTTCATCTTTATCAAATTGTTTAAGGGTCCCAGGCCAGAGGTACTTCTGTGCATAGTTGACATATATAATGCTCTGGTTGAAGAAGATGCTACTGTTGTATTTTCAACCTCGTTATAAAGGCTGTTAATAAGTATCTTATTTCTAGGTAGTGAGTTTAATAGTTTGTTACTTATTTCCATTAACCCAACCTGTTGACAATGCTTCAGGTCAGACTTAAGCAAATCATAGGGTGAAGAAGCTTTGCCATCTAGTAAAATTAACTCAGAAAACCCTCCTCCCATCTGCTCATTAAGAAGTCCATTGGAATGTGAAATACTCCTTTCTGTGTCTTTTCTTCTGCCTTCCTTTTATCTCCCCTCCCATCCTCTGTCTCAGTAGTTGCTGTTTGCTTTAGACAATCAGATGAGTGGCTACTCACAGAGGCTGTTTTGAGACTTATTTGAGGCCCTTGTGTCCCAAGTGTCCAGGTTTCCTGGAGGGGAGTTAGACTTAAAGAGGAATCAAAGGCCTCTAGGGAACACAGCTGTGTCAAGGAGGAAACTAAACCTTTTTTTTTTTTAAAGATTTTATTTATTTATTTGACAGAGACACAGCGAGAGAGGGAACACAAGCAGAGGGAGTGTCAGAGGGAGAAGCAGGCTTCCCGTGGAGCAGGGAGCCCTATGCGGGGCTCGATCCCAGGACCCTGGGATCATGACCTGAGCTGAAGGCAGACGCTCAACGACTCAGCCACCCAGGTGCCCCGAAACTAAACCTTTTATAAGGAGCAATCCCAGTGTCTTCGGATGACCTAGTTCTGACTGTGAGGTTCCTAGAATTCAACCCATTATGTTAGGTGACCAGATCTGATGTAACATTTCTGTCATCTGGCTGCATCTTATGACTGCCCTCTCTGATCATGTCCTTGTCTCCTGACTTGTTATATTAGACAAATTGAGCATTGCAAAAACAGTGACAACCTTCTTTACCCATCTTCTCACTTTAAACAACTGTAGCATATCCAGTTGGCATGAATGGTTCTACAAAGCCAGCATCAGACAATATGCAATTGCTGTTTTAAATGATGGGTAGTACTGAAACATCTCCCACTGAATAGGAGGTTGGGAAGAGAGTTAATACAACAATCTGCTAAGAGCCCATTTATTCATTCAACAAATTCAGTGTATTTGTTTTAGGTGTTTAAGCATAGTGTTAACCTCTGGGGATAAAATGGTAAACAAAACCGATGGAATCCCTGCTTTTATGTTTATAGTTTTGAGATTGGTAATATGATAACTCATATATACTTAATTCTGACATATACCTGTTCTGAGTAGGTGTGTTCAGAATGACCAATCTCAAGTAGTTTTATTAGTGTGCCTTCCAAGTTAGCTACTTATGTTGTGGTCATGCCAGTCTACTGAGATTGAACTAAAATTTATTGCTACATAATTGGGTAACATGTTAAGA